GATGCTTAACCACTGCGCTACATGCCCAGCCCCCTTTTACATTTTATTTAGAGACCGGGCCTCACTAAGTTGCTGAGGCTGGCTTTGAATTCAGGGTCCTCCTGCCTCAGCCTCCCAAACCGCTGGGATTACAGGTGTGTGCCGCCAAGCTTGGCTGCAAATATGTTCTCTTAATTTTTCAGTTGTCTTTTGACTAAATGGTTCTTTGCCAATCTAGCCAGAGTTCTTATCTTGAGGTCAAATACTTCTGGATTTGCAAACCTTCTGAAGCAGTACACAAATGGTACATCTGCTTTTCTGAGGTCTGCAGTGTTTAGTTTTCTGAAAGGACCTGTAACTTGAGCATGATTAGGAGCTACTACTGCCCCATGTCATCCACTGAGTTGAACTGTGTCCGATAGGTCCATGTAAGTTGAACAACCCTTCAAATTCTTGAAAGCTTCTCCCAATTCTCTTGACTATTTACTTTAATAAGTCAGATACCCAGCAATCCAGCCTGAATGTGGAATGTGATTGAATGCCAATCAAATTCTAGCCACAAGGAGCCTTCCTCATCTTTAATCCTGACTATAAACATAAAAAGTGGAAGGATTATCCCTTTTATTTATTTATTTATTGTGGTACTGGGGATTGTGCTCCACCTGTGAACTACATTTTTGGTTATTTATTTATTTATTGTAGTCGTAGATGGACAGAATTTTTGATCCTTTACTTATTTATTTTTTGCAGTTGTAGATGGACGGAATGCCTTTATCTTATTTTTTTTTATTTTTATGTAGTGGTGAGGATTGAACCCAGTTCCTCACACATGCTAGGCAAGCACTCCACCACTGAGTTACAGTCCAAGCCTGGTCCTTTATTTTTTTTCTTTGAGATGAGGTCTCCCTAAATTGCAGAAGCTGGCTTTGAACTTGCCATCCTTCTGCCTCAGCCTCCCAAGTTATTGGGAAAACAGGCATGAGCAACTACCCCCAGCTCAAGTTTTCTCATTGAACACTGAGTTACATTCCTAGCCCTTTGTATATTTTGAGTCAGGGTCTCACCAAGTGAGACTTAGGGCCTTACTAAATTGCTGAGGCTGATCTCTAACTTGAGATCTTCCTGCCTCAGCCTACTGAGCCACTGGGATTACAGTGTGAATTCTTATCCCCAAAGACATTTCTGGTTTCCTATTTATCTTTCATACACAACTCTAAGAGTAGAGTATGACACTCCAGTTGTGGTCTAACCAGCAAAACATAGCAAAACCACTAGCTTCTCAGTTCAGATAGCACATTTATATTAATGATCACAAAGTTAATCTATCTTCCTTTCTTTTTCTTCTTCTTCTTCTTCTTTTTTTTTTTTTGTGTGTGTGTGTGGTGCTAGGGCTTTAATCCAGGTCACTCTACAACTGGGCTAAGCCTTCTGCCCCCAAGAAGTCAATTCTAATTGAACTGCTAAAACTGTAGGTCTTCTATTTCCCACATAAATATTTTCACGTATGAAGCCCACTTTTAGAAACTAAGTAGAAAATCTTACATTTATAGCTATTAAATTTCATTTTGCTTTATATAATTCAAAATAGTTGGGTTGGGGTTGTGGCTCAGAGACAGAGCACTTATCTACCATGTGTGAGGCACTGAGTTTGATCCTCAGCACCACATAAAAATAAAATAAAGATATTATGTCCTCCTATAACTAAAAAATAAATATTAAAAAAAATATTTACCTTTGATAGAGTTAGGAGAAAGGGAATGATTTGAAAAAAGAATAGAGAGCTAGGGATGTGGCTTAAGTGGTAACGCGCTCGCCTGGCATGCATGGGGCGCTGGGTTCGATCCTCAGCACCACATACAAGATGTTGTGTCAACCAAAAACTAAAAAAAACAAAAAGAATAGAGAGATAGTAATCTAGTTCTTAGGTTTGGGTGATATATATATAAACATGTATATGCATTTTGCAATACTGGGGACTGAACTGAGGCCCTACCACATGCTATATGGACACACAACTACTGAGCTACATCCTCAGCCCTAGTTTTACATTTTTTATTCTGAGACAAGGTCTTTGTAAATTGCCCAGGATGGACTCGAACTTGAGATCCTCCTGCCTTAGCTTCCTAACTATGTAGCTAGAATTATAGTCACAAGCCACTGTGCTCAGTTTATGTGTATACATTTCACATAGACATATACACATATACACATGCATGCTTTGAGTTCACCGTATGTCATAATTTAATTGCACATACTTTTATTCTTTATCAAATATTACATTAAGAAACACTTACTTTCAGATGTGGTGGAACAAAGTGACTTGGGAGGCTAAGTCAAGTTTGAAGTCATCTTGGGCAACTTAATAAAACCCTATCTCAAAATAAAAAATAAAAGGCTGGGGGGCTGGGGCTGGAGTTGAGTGATGGGAGTACTTGCCTGGCACGCATGAGGCACTGGGTTTGATCCTCAGCACCACATAAAAATAAAATAAAGGTATTGTGTCCACCTACAACTTAAAAAAAATGTATATATATATACAAACTCATTAAAAAAATAAAGGCCTGGGAATGTAGCTAAGAGGTAGAATACCTCTGGGTTCAATTCTTAGTAATTCATAAAAACAAATAAAAAACCACATTTTTTTGTTAAACTCAGACTATCACATCAAGAAATAATATACAATACTTCATTCGTGACTAATTACAGCCAATGTATAAACTCTACCTAACAATAATTAATTTCCCTACAACCTGTGCAAAGAAATAATGCATTTATCAGTTGGAAAACAGAGTCTAGCCAAGGATGCTAGACTTAATTTAGTAATGGTTTTATAGCAGGGGTCAGCAAACTAGAGCCCTCAGGTCTGCACTTATGCTTATAATTTTATTAGAAGTTGGGTGTGGCTGGGCTGGGGTTGTGGCTCAGTGGTAGACTGCTTATCTAGCACATGTGAGGCACTGGGTTTGCCTTAGCACCATATAAATAAATAAACAAACAAACAAGCAATAAAGAAATAAAGGTATTGTGTCCATCTACAGCTAAAAGAAGAGGAGGAGGAGCGGGAGGAGGAGGAGGAGGAGGTTGTTGGGTGTGATGGCACAAACAAAAAACATATTTTACCATATAACTGTTGCCACCACATTAACATATATTCACAACTATTCTATGCATACTAGTTTTGCACCAATGACAGTTTAGTAATAAATGATTTTTAAGTACACTGTTTAACAATGACAAAAAAGCTTCACATAATGATTGCACCCAACTTTCTTACAATAAAATTTGGCATAAATCTTTGACAATTATTCAGTAAAATACAAAAATCGAAAAGTTTCATTGGAATACAGCCATACTCATTCATTTGCACAGTGTCTAGACCTGCTTTAATGTTACAACAGATGATTAGTTTGCTGGGGTTGGGGATATAGCTGAGTGGTACAGTACTTGCTTAGTGTGGAAGAGGCTGTGGACCCAATTTCCAGCACTGCCAACTAAAAAAAAAAAAAAATTTGAGAAAGTTTGCTGACTCCTGGTTTATCACACCATTCATAGGTGAGATAAGTTTTCTAGGTGGGAAATGGTGGCACATCTGTAATCCCAGCTACTCTGAAGGATGACATGGGATGATCCCAAATTTGAGCCCAACCTTAGAAACTTAGCAAGGCACTGTCTCAAAAAATAAAAAGGGCTGCAATGCAGCTCAGAGGTAGAGCACCCTTGAGTTCAGTCCCAGTACTTGGGTGGGGGGTGGTGGCAAAAAAGTTTTCTAGTGCACGTGGCATGTATATTTCTTCAGGAATCTCAGTCCATCACATTCCACAGCTCACTAACCATCATCTCATTTAACTAAACATTCTATTCAAATTTCAAGCTCACAGAAATTTGATTTCCCATGTAGGCTTCCTACAGGGAGAAGACATGCTGATCAGTCAGTATGACTGCCGGGTTTCTGTTCTCAGGGTTTACTCCAGTTGAACTGGGCTGACTAGTCTGTGCAAAATAACCACACAAGTGACACAAATACCTTTTTCTTTGGGGTTGCTGTGACGGCTCCTCTGAACTTAAGGGTCCGCAGGAAGAAAGTGAGCAAGAGCACGCGCTGAGCCCTTTTATTGAGGAGAAGCTATTCAAATGAGGCAAGGGGTCAGGTTTCAGGGGCTGAGTCTATCTTCATGATGTCCACTGTCAGCAGATTGACTGACACCTGGGTAGGCCACACCCAAGGGCACAGTAAGAGAAGGGGACACACACAAGGCCTTCCATGGAAGATTCTATCCTAAACAGGGCAAGGGGTAATATTACAAAGGAACAGGTGAGCAGGGGCTGTAGCAAGACACACCCATGCACGAGACACTGACCCTCGAACCCAAGAAGGGTGGGGAAAGCTCTGCCACATTTCTGTGACTGAGCGCCTCAGCACCCAGCAGAGGAGTGTGACTCAGTCACGTGTAAGGTTGGTCTCCCACATATGACCATTCCTATCAAGTAATGAGTCAACTTTTCATTATGTATTAAATGAAGAATTGTCTTTCCAATGCCCTCCCCATGAAAGAACCAGCGATTGAACCCAAAGTGCTCAACCAGTGACCTATATCCCCAACCCACTCCCCCTACCCCTTTAAATTTTGAGACAGGGTCTTACTAAGTTGCCCAGGCTGACCTCAATCTTTTGATCCTCCTCCAAGTAGCTGAGATTACAAGTGTGTGCAACTGTGTCCAGTAGCTATACTTCATTTTTTAACATCAGATGCAGAAATATCACAGGATTTTCAGGGACTCAACATTCCATATACAATGGCTGTGATAAACAGTATACAATGGTTGCTTTACACAAGAGTCACTCTTTTTTGACTAAGTAAGTGTCTCATGTGACAAAAATGTTTTTTTCAATATCATCACAAGAAAGTTAATATAAATTAATATTTTAGAAATGTTTCAAGGATAAGTCATAATCTGAGAAATGGTACTCTGCAAAGCTGTCATTCATAGTCAACTCATCTGATCAAGATGTCATTTCTTACCTGACTTGTGCTGATATTTTCTTCAGCAGATGTAGAATGTTTGCATAGGTCTTCCTTTGCTCCCTCACAGGTCTCTCTCATAATTTCCACTTGGTTCCCTTGATCTCTGAAGACCTTTAGCTCCATACTCTTGGCTTTCTCTTCCCTATGCAAGATCCCAGAAGCCACAGAATCTCCTACTTTGGGGTCTACCAAACCACACCACCCAAGCTCACCCCCATGATCCAAGGTCTTACAGGTTTCTTGATAACTTTCTGCATGAGTCCTGTGAAGCTTCAAGGGCAATATTCTACTCTGATTTATAAAAGAGCTAGAGGCTCCAAGCTTTACAACTGGATTCACACTTGGCTCAGGGTGTGCATGAAGCTCTTTGGAGACACTTACTGGGAGTTCAGAGTATAATTCCTGTACCACGGCAGACATGGAGGAATCAAGTGGAACTGGCTGAGTCTCTACTCCAGATGACAGCATTAGGGCAGATGTAGATTATGGAGTGAAGTCTTTTACATCAAACAGTTCACCCTGACATAAATCAAAGGAAAGGATACAAGTTTAAAACCTTGATAGGGTAGAAGCTGACTCAGTTCATATTGGCTAAAATTAAAAAAATAAATTCTACTTCAAATGCCAGCATTATCTGACACCAAATTTGTGGAAAAACACATACCTTAACTTTTAATAGGCACCTGTCTAATCCTAATTCAAATACTGACTTCTCAATAATTATCAATTTAAATCTGAAGGGCCCACAAGTGTACCTGAAAATAAGACATGTTTATGCATCTAAGAATAATGTTGATACAATTTACAAAATAAATTTTTTTCTTTTTTTTTTTTTGCCAATCATGGTGGCACTGCCTGTAATCCCAGTTATCCAAGAGGCTGAAATATGAAAATCTGAAGGTTGAGGTCAGCTTGGGAAACTTAATGACATCCAGCCTCAAACAACTACAACAAAGAACTAAGAATGTTGCTCAATGGTAGAGAGCTTGCCTCTAAAAAAGAAAGACAGTATGGTTTTATACTTGTTTTCAGGGCATGAATCTCACCCATTTTGTTCATTGATATATTCCCACTGTCAGAATAGAAGTATGATACATTGTAGGTACTCTTTTTTTTATGTTGTAGGTATTCTGAAGGACTCTGATGAGCATGAAACTCTTTTCTTTGAAGGAGGATACAAGGAAAATGGAACTATTTTCCTTTACTGCTTGTTACATACTTGAGCTGTATTTAGTAGGCTAGCACAAGATACTCCTAACCCAGTCCCTGGGCAAGTGCTCTACCACTGAGCTATACCGCCAGCTGTTTTTACTTTTGAGAAAAAGTCTTGCTAAACTGCCAAGGCTGGCCTCAAACTTGCCATCCTCCTGCCTTAGTCTCTGTAGTAGCTGAGCTCACAAGTGTGTGCCACCACACCTAGATCCTTTTTGGCTTTTACCATTTTTTGCTTTGGATGCTAGAAACAGGTAATTTGCTGAAATATGTTTACCTAAGCAATTCACAATACTATATTATACTATATTACAAAAAGAGTCAATACACATACATATACAAACATATTCAGGATTTCCCAGCCCATAAATTTTAGTTCAGCAACAATATGCAGTTTTTACAACAAAATCCACTTTGAATGGGACTGAGGATATAGTTGAGTTGGTAGAGTACTTGCCTCGCATGTACAAGGCCCTGGGTTCAATCCCCAGCACCATCCCACCAAAATCCACTTTGACTTGACCGAGGCAGAAATTGGTTCACCAAATAAGATACTTGGATTCTTTCTTTCTTTTTATTTATTTATATGTGGTGCTGAGAATCAAACCCAGTGCCTCACACATGCCAGGCAAGCGCTGTACCACTGAGTCACGACCCCAGCACTTTGATTCTTGATGCTTTTCCTAACCCTAAACTAAAGGAAGGAGAATATAAGTGTTAAGGAACCCTCCCCAGAGGCAAAATGACATAAAGCTACATTACTAATTAAAACTCTAGAAATTATAAAGAAATCAGATTGCCAGTCCATGAAATTTAGGTAATACAGGAGGGCTGATAAAAAAAGACTTGTATTTTGAATACAAAAAATTAGCACACAAACTTGTGTAAAGAAGTACAGCAATAATCAAATGAACTAATTACAATAAATAAATTAATTATAAAAAAAGAATCAAATGAGATTCTCCATGTGAAAGACTTTCAACGTGCTATGATAAATTTATCCCTTTTAGAGTTAAAATTTTCCCCTTTTAATCTACCACCTGGATATTTCTGGGGGCACTTCAGATATTAGGTCATTTATGTCGGGATAAGGAGAATTAGTAGAGATAAAATGGAATTGTTATTTGATGTCAAAATAAGCAGGAAGTGCCCAAATTTAACTTGGTTCAGCTTCCTTTCCCCAACAACATACCCAATCTAATTTTTGGATGTCAGACTACATACAGATTGGAAGAATAATTGGCAGGAGAGGATACTGTGAAGCTCAAGTTTGTCAGCCAGGCATAATTATGGGCTCATTTCTGTAATCCCACCCACTTGGGAGGCTAAGGCAGGAGGATGACAAGTTTCAGGCCTCTGTAGGCAACAGCCTATTAAAAAATAAATAAATTTTTTAAAATGGCTGGGGATATACGCAGTGCTAGAGTGACCCTGGGTTCAATCCCCATTACCACAAAATAAAACAAATGAAAAGCAAATGCCCACAAGGGTGTGTTGGTACATGCCTATAATCCCAGCTATACCAGAGGCAGAAGCTGTAGGAGCTCAAATTTAAGGCCAACCTCAGCAATTCAGAAAGACAGACCCTACCTCAAAACAATCTCAAACTGGGTGTGTTGCCATGCGCTTGTAATCCGAGTAGTTCAGGGGGCTGAGGCAGGAGGATCAAAACCAGCCTCAGCAACGGTGAGGAGCTAAGCAAATCAGTGAGACCCTGTCTCTAAATAAAATACAAAACAGGGCTGGAGATATGGCTCAATAGCTCAATGGTTGAGTGCCCAAGTTCAATACCTGGTACCAAAAATAGATAGATAGATAGATAAGGGTGGGGGAGTTCAACTCACTGGTAAAGCACTCCATTCCCCCAGTACTGGGGTTGGGGGTGGGGTTGCAGTATTAATTCAGTTTAGAACACAAATAAACTTTGAAAACACTATGATAATTGAAATAAACATAAAGAACCACATGTTATAGAATCCCATTTATATAAAATGTCAAGAATGGAAAAAGGTAGGGCTAGGTATTTAGTTCAGTGGTACAGGGCTTCCTTAGCATGAAGGAGGCCCTAGGTTTGATGTCCAGCACCACATGCACACACAAAAAAGGATATATAATTTATAAAGACAAAATAGATTGATGGTTGCTTACAGCTGGGAGTGTTGGATAACTAGGGACTGACAACTAATGGACACTTTCTTTTTAAAGTAATAAAAATGTTTAAAATTGAAAAAGGTGATCATACTAAAAACTACTGATTTGTATAATTTAAATTGGTAAATTCTATGATATGTAAATTATCTTTTTTTTTTTTTTGGCACTGCTGAGGATTTAACCTGAGGCCTATGCAAGCTACATCCCAGCTCATGTGACACACACACACATATATATTTTGATACTGTGGATTGAATTCAGATGCACTCAACCATTTAGCCATATCGCCAGTCCTGTGTTGCATTTTATTTAGAGACAGGGTCTCATTGAGTTGCTTAGTGCCTCACCATTGATGAGACTGTCTGGCTTTGAACTTGCAATCCTCCTGTCTCAATCTCTGGGATTACAGGTGTGCACCACCTCACTCCAGCTGTGAATTATTTTTTTTAATAAAACTGATTTTTAAAAGAACAGATGGGGATGCTGGACATGGTGGCACACGCCTATAATTCCAGCATCTTGGGAGGCTGGGGCAGGAGGGTTACAAATTCAAGTCTTGGCTACTTTGTCTTAAATATAAAAGGGCTTGGGATATAGTATGGTGGTAGAGTAATTGCCTAGTATGCAGGAGGCTCTGGGTTTCATCTCCAGCACTGGGGGGAAAAAATAAAAAGCTAGGATTATAATCTCAACGTAGAGCACATGCCGAGCACGTAAGATCCTGACTTGGATCCCTAAAACTGCATGGGGAAAAAAAAAAAAAAAAAGATAAAGAAAATGCCCGATCCCCAATCCATCAACTCTCAATTCCTGACCTACATTTCACTTGCGAAGGATAGGACCCGCCCCCCCCACGTCTATAATAGAGCCCGTTTAATCAAAAGAATAATTGAGTCTTTCTACATGCAAACAGCTGCAAGAAACAAAGATGAATAAGATGCCCTCAGTATATTACGTGGTCTCTCCTTCCTTGTTTCCTCCCCCACCCTATTCAACCAAGGGCTTTGTTCATGCTAAGCAGGTGCTCCATCACTGAGCTACACACCAGCCCCTACAATTGCCTCTCAACATCAGTATCACTTTTCTAGAGCTCAGACTCAATTTTTTTTACACAACTAGCGTAACACAAACTATGGCTTCAACTCCTATAGTGTCTCTAATAAACTCTACAGCTTTCTTTTTTTCTTTTTTTTTCTTGGTACTAAGGATTGAACTCAGGGGCACTTGACCACTGAGTCCCATCCTCAGCCCTATTTTGTATTTTATTTAGAGACAGTCTCACTGAGCTGCTTAGTGCCTTGCTTTTGCTGAGGCTGGCTTTGAACTTGTGAATCTCCTGTCTCAGCTTCTTGAGCTGCTGGGATTACAGGCATGCGCCACTCTGCCTGGCTAAACCCTACTGGTTTCTAATCCCCAAGTACTACTTCAAGATTTTCTTCCAAAGGTCACGCCACATAAAGTCATGCACAACTATATATTTACTAAATATATATATATATACTAAACACACACACACACACACACACGGTCTCACTAAGTTGCTTAGGGCCTTGCTAAATTGCTGAAGCTGGCCTCAAACTTTGAATCCTCCTGCCACAGCCTCCCATGTCACTGGGATTACAGGTGTGTGCCACCATGCTCAGCTTTCTAAACAGATTCTTACCAAAAGGAATGAATACTGATAATCACATAAAATGATACAAAACGTTCCTCAAGGAAAACAGTGCCTTTACCTTTCTTATGCCTTCATCTATACTGTAAATGGGCACTAGCTAAAACAGAACTTTAAAGCTTTAAAGACACAAATATCATAAAATTGTTATCTCTTGATACTCATTTGTATAGAATTTTAAGAATTTTCAACCTGTAAAATAATTAGGCATACTTGCTGTGGAAGCATAATAGACACTCCCTCCTTTTTGTTGGGAGTCCAACTCTAGGTCTCAAATTTTTAAGCCAATTGGGGCATGGTGGCAAAAGCCTACAATCACAGCAACTTTGGAGGTTGGGGAAGGAGGATCACAAATTCAAATAACTTAGTGACTGACAGCTTCAGCAACTTAGCAAGGCCCTTAGCAATTTAGTGAGTCCCTGACTCAAAATTAAAAAATAAAATAAAATAAATTAAAAATTAAAAAAGGGGCTGGGGATGCAACCCTGGGTTCAATCCCTAGTACAAACAAATAAAAACAACAACAAAATGAAGGTTGAGACAGGAGGATCACAAATTCAAGTAACTTAGTGACTCTGTCTCAAAAATTTTTTTAAAAGGGCTAGGGATATACTCAGTGGTAAAGTGCCTTGGGGCAAATCTCCAGTATTCTCATACCCAAAAAAATTTCTAAACCAAATCTGAAGTTTAGTTACTAAAACACTATACTCTAAGAGAACAGCTGGATCCCTCAGAGGCAAAGTGATATTCACATGCAAGCCTAAAGTGCAGATTAAAATTACTGTCAGCTCTCTAGCTCTCACATCACCATCTATCAAAATACAGGCAGTACCACAAGACAGCAGTAACAGAACACTATTTTGGTACTAAAAACTAAAATTCCTGAGGCTAAAGCAGGAGGATCATAAGTTTGAGTCCAGCCTGGGCAACTTAGCGAGACCTGTTTCAAATAAAAAATAATAAAGGGCTAGAGAGGTAGCTTAGTAGTAGAGCACAGAACCCAGTACCACATGAGCACACACAAAACTAAAATTACAAACCCAATGCAGCAATTAAAACTGATGATGTAGAAACATCTCTCCATATAGAAAACTGCCTGGAATATTTTTTTTACTAAACTAAAATATACATCAGGACTCTCACTGGTAAAATATATATGCACATAGAAAAATATTTTGAATGAATACAAACCATTAACACTGTTAATTTGGCGGAGAGATAACTGATGACTTAGCTGTATGTTGTATTAAAAAATTTTACTTTTTAAAAAAACAGTTGGGAATAAATTGTTAATGTTTTCTCTATTATTTTCCAAGACCCAAATGCATAACAATAAAAAACTAGTATCAGCCCTTTATTTTATTGGGTATCTTCCCAACTGACAGTTCTGTGCCTCAATCATCAAAGGTTTTACATTCAAGTGTTAAATAAACTTGAAGTTAAAAAAAAAAAAAAAGTAACACATGCTTATAAGATGTAGGCAGGGATTTATTTACAGCTAATCCTTTCTAATGACTTAAAAATCAACCTATTGGATGGGGATACCAGATAATTATCTAGTCTGAGGTCTAACAAAAATAAACTATCCATTTACTAATGACACTTGCCAGCTGCTACTGGCTTGTCATCTTTACCACAACACAAAAAAAGTGTAAGATTAGGAAATAAACTTATCTGTGGGGGAAAACCAAATTAACTAATGTTTACATGAAGCATGCTGTAAAATTCTTCTAAAAAAAGAAAAAAGAAAGAAAGAAAAATTCTTTTTGAGTTAAGAGCAATTACCTACTGATCTTGTTCAAATGCAAAAGAACTATGGTGAGCAATCTAATTGCTGGTCTCCCAAATCAGGCAGCCAGGGTTCCTATTCTGATTCCATTCATCAGCTACATAGTAAATTATGCTAAGTGAAAGTTAAGTGAACTTTCCCAGCCTTGTTTTCCCATGTAAAATTAACAAATTAAACAAAATAATCACACCCTTAAAAACCTCATGACTCTAAAAGATAACTTTTCTATTTCTCTTTGTTTCAGCAAAACACACCTACACACATCAACAATGGTAGTACAGAGCTCAGACTAATCCTCTTCACAGGTACTCAAGGGCATCTGAGGTAATTTAAAAACATTTTACACACAGAAAAGATGTAAAACTTCTCTTTGGTGTGCCTTCAGGTAATTCGGCAATGTTAATTCTCATCCCACATTAAATACAAAACATATCATTGAAGAATTAATGTTGCAGTTCTCATTAGAGTATTTCATGATTTTTGACAAAGCGGCAACTTATATTTTATTCATTCACCACTCCCCAAAACAAAAGTTGTGGAGGCATAAAATTTATAGGAATAAAGCAAAAAGTAGGGGGAGCGGGACAACAGAGCGTAACAGGAAACTATGTGCCCCAACAATCCAGGAGCTGAAGGTTTCCTCTCCCTTTAATTCCAATGCAAAAGGGCTGTTAACACCAGGGGCTGTCATGCTTGTGTCAAGGAACAATACTCACAATAATGATCAGGCCCTTAGAAGTTCACAACACTCCTTTTCCCGAAAGAGGCTTTATTTTCCAAAGATTCAGACACTGTAGCCAATTCCTCCATGAGGGAATTCCAAGAAGGGGCCTCTTCTTGAGGGAGAGAGAAAGAAGATCTTTTAACAAGATTTCAAGACAAATTGGAAGCAAGGCAAGGTCGCACATATACTAAATCGGGCCCAGCTCAACAGGGGATGTGCAGGAAACCTCAAAAGCATCAACCACTATTTCCCTTTTCCTTCCTTTATTAGCATGCAGAAAAAGGACCCCTCTGTCTCCATATGGAGAATCAAACAGTGAAAATGCTCCTGATTTCTACTGACAAAGACTCCCTGCATAAAAGATCTTCATCTATTTTCCAGAGGAAGAGGAGAAAAGAAACCATTTATACCACACTAGATAGATAAGGGAAAAAGAGTAGTCTCGAATTTTTCTTGGGAAAACATACAAAAAAGAAATTAGAATCATCCTCTTGGCAGATGTGTGAAAGGGAGGCTGTGAGGAGAAAGCGGTTTTTTTGTTTTGTTTTGTTTTTTTGGACACTAGAGCAAGTAAGGGGAATGGAAAAAGACATCTCTAATCACTCAGGAAGAAGTGACAGATTACGTGCACAAAGGAAAGGGTGACTTCTGGCATCAGTCTCCCTAAGTGGGTACTGAGCTGTTTCAAAAAACTAAGTATTTTTTCCTGATTATTTTCAGCTAGGCCTTCTTTGTTAATTTAGAGCATTGTAAGGATCTGAGGGGAGTGGAAGGTACACTTTCTCCATCCTGGGGTGGGGAAAAAAGTCTTCCTCTCCAGTGGATAGGTATTGAATACTTTTGATGGGTGGTGATAGTGAGGTAGATGTATGCAAACACCTGCTTCTTTGGGCAAGATATTTATTTTCTTTTTTGGTGCTGGTGATTTAATCCAGGGCATTGTGCATGCAGTGAAGCATTCTACTATTGGACTACGTCCCCAGTCCCAGTTTTCTTTCTTAACGAATTAACAGTAACAATTTGCCAAAAAATTACGATATACTAAGCATTAACACAAATTCTCCCTTAGATATTAAAAAAAAAGGAGTAACCCAAATTCGAAATGATCTAAGTTAAGGGATGAGTCAAGGTCACAAAGATGTTAGATGGGAGAGGCTTTGCAACTATCACGATCTAAAAGCCATGATTTTTTTTTTTTTTTTTTTGGTAGTTGTAGATGGTCAGCATGTTTCTATTTTATTTGTTTCAAAATTTTTTTTAAATGTGATGAACCCAATGCCTCACACATGCTAGGCAAGTGCTCTGCCACTGACCTACAGCCCCAGCCCCTAAAAGCCATGGGCTTAACTGTGCAAAGGAGAAAGAGCTCACTTCACACTGAGACTAAAAGGGAAGAAGAAAACCAAGGCTCCCTCTCTGGTCATGATTGGGGGAGGGGGAGAAAAAGCTGATTTCTGATACTATAAAGTTAACTCAGGGTCCTCCTCTCTATATCTTGGGATAAAGGTGAAAAATGGACAAGGGAAGGCAAGACTTTTTAAACTTACAGGGAAGGTAGATCCTTTCTAATACTTTAGGAAGTGGAAAATTTCCCTCTTCACCTGAACGACACTGACAAAGTGGAGTGAACGTTCTCATTTGGGGGTTACCCCCATCTTTCCTTATGTTCGAATCCCCTCTCGCACCCTGGGACTGGGTCCCCCACCGCTAACAGACCAGAACCAAGAAAGACTGTACGCCCACAAGGGGCGTCAGCCTTTCGAAGAAGAGAAGTTGGGGGATCCCCTCCGATCTCGGTTGCAAAGCAGTCTCTCTCCCCCTTTGCAGCCATGATTCGGAGAAGCCTTTTTCCCCTAGCGACGCGGGCCCTAGTCTCCTCCCTCTTTCTGGGTCGTTTGGCCGCCCGCAGCGTAGCCTCCGCTTGCTTCAGCGCCCCGAAAGGCGGGGGCCCGGGCTCCCCTTTTGCCAGCACCGCCCGAAGGAGGGTTCCCGCAGGGCGTTGTGGGGCGGAGCGGCTAAGCCCGAAGCCTTCCGACCACGGGCCTCTTACCCTGAGGCCTGATCCCCGGCCGGTGCTTGCCCCTCCAGCTTGGCCTCTGCAGACGCAGCCCCGCTGCCGCCAAGTCTACTTGAGCCTACGGAGCCGAGAGACAGTGGGCGCTCCGGCCGCTACCGCCTCTCCGTCTCTATGGTTCCCCCCCCCTCCCCCCCCTCCCCCCCACTTCCTCATCCGGGGCCTGAGCTAGCCCTGCGGATTCGCCCACGTCCCCCCCCCGCCTGGCGCGCGCGCACTCCAAAGGGCGCTCTTCCCTCCTCGGAACTGCCGCCCTCTGCTAGCCAGCAGCGATCATGAACCCCGCCCCTGCGGCTCACTCTTAAAGGGAAACACACCTTTTTGGCTGGGTTCCTGCTGAGCCCCAGGGCCCAGTGTTTCTCTCCACTACTACCCTTGAGCTTGTATTACCATTTGTTTGACCTGGACATCTACAACTCTAGAGGCCTCCCTGCTTCCACTCTATTAGTTCTAGGAGTCTTTTAATACTGGATCAGTGTTTTAGGTCACATCACTCCCTTGCTTCTAATCACACTACTAAATCTAAATGGCACCCTTCCTTTAATTAAATATAGCACTTTGTTTTCATTTCTTCATCGTTTTAACTCTAGTTGAAAGTAGTGTCAACTCTTGACTTGGTTATTGTCTGTCCCCTCTCACTCTTCGCTGTTCTTTTCATCACGATATACACAACACCTAAAGGCAGTGTCTGGCCGACATTAGAAGGAAGGAAAGGAAAAGAGTAGCCATTAGCCGGGCTCAAGTGGTGCAGCCTGTAATCCCAGCCACTCAGTAGGATTGATTCCGAGGCCAGCTTCAGCAATTTAGCGACACCCTGTCTCAAAAATAAAAAAAATAGAAAGAACTGGGGATGTGTTTCAGTGGTAAAGTGCTCCTAGTTCAATTCCTAGTACAAACAAACAAACAAACAAAAAATCCTGAAGGGAATTGAGGATGTCCAGAAAATATAATTGACTTAATCCCCAAATCACACAGTTATATGTTAAAATAAAATCTGTTGCTTCTTAGAGCTCATTGGCCTGGCCAGAAATAGAATTTGAAAGTTTTTGAGGGAGATTTAAAAATCGTTCATCTCTAATCAAGATATTTTTTCTGGGTGCTGTAGTGTAAGCCTACAGACAGCTCAGGAGGCTGAGGCAGGAGGATCATAAGTTCAAAGCCAGCCTCAGCAATTTAGCAAAGCTGTCTCAAAATAAACCTATATACTGTTACATATTTCATATATATATGCTGATATATGTATAGTTCATCTTGCTGAGGTTTCTTCTTGACACAACCCTTAAAACTTTTACCCAAATACAATACAAGTGCCTCACCTAATCCTAATTCCAGCCCTGCTTCTAGCTTCTAACTCTGCACCAGGCACAGTTGGGGTCCAAAAGAAGCATCAGATATATTGTCTAAACTCCTTAAACTTGGGAAAGAGCCAATTTCCTGAAGAATTGCATGCTTTTTGCTTTTGGTTAATTCATATTATTCTCCACATTCATATATCACTTTTAATATATTATTGTTTTTGTTTTGTTTTGCAGTGGTAGGAATTGAACCCAGAGCCTGTGCATGCTAGACAAGCGCTCTATCACTGAATTACACACTGAACCCAATTCATTTAATTTTAAAAAACCTAATGTAATATGTTCCTCACCTCATGTAGCCCTTAGACATCTCATAAAGGAGGAAGGATATGTACTTTTTATTCTCATTTGACAGGGAGAAATTTGAAAAAAGAAGTATCTTGTGCAAGGACACATAACAAAACAACAAAACAAAACAGGCAATGTTTAAATCATTGTAGCACAGTGATTATAGAACCAAGGCTGAAAGATCTCTCCTCTGGGGGCAATCTGCTCTGTCCTCCCTAACCTTGACTTGAAACTGAGGCAGTGCAAAGGACCCCTCCAAACTATTTTTTTGGGGGGTACTGGGGATTGAACCCAGGAACACTCAACCGCTGGGCCACAAACTTAAACGTTTTCGATTTTTGTTTGTTTGTTTATTTTAAAGGAGAATTGCCACATTCAAAAATGATGTTTTTCATTTCTAAGATTTGACACCAGGGGCTGGGGCTGGGGCTCAGTGGTAGTGCACTTGCTTGGCATGTGTGAGGCACTGGGTTTGATTCTCAGCACCGCGTATAAATAAATAAAAATAAAGGTCTATCAACAATTAAAAAAAAAAAAAAAAGATATGACACCAACTAGGGACATCTCTCAGGAGAAGGAATCTCATTCTCCTGAAGGCCAAGAAGAGAGAATTAAGTTAGTTTCCTCTGACAAGGAGGACTTTTCTCCAACCACTTGTTTGTTAAGACAGAAAACAATGTTGGGGATGTCTCTGGGTGGGACCTGTAAACATTTAAACATGTAAACATTTCTGTTACATGTAATTGGTTTTTTTTTTTTTTTTCTTTTTTTGTATTGGAGATTAAACTCATGGGTGCTTTGCCACTGAGCTACGTCTCCAGCCTTTTTTATTTTTTTATTTTGAGACAGGGTCTGGCTAAATTTCTGAGGTTGACTTAAACTTGAGATCCTCCTGCTTCAGCCTCCCAAGTAGCTGGGATTATAGCATGAGCCTCTAAGTCTGCCTATATATAACATTTTATCCTTGAAAATTTGTGTAACTGTTGCCCTCTACATGATTATGGATGGCTTTTCTTTTCTTTTTCTTTGAGCAGCCAGGTGTCTAACCCAAGACCTCAACCATGCTAGGCAAATGCTCTATTACTGACTACATACCCAGCTCCATTTTTCTTTTCTTCTTCTTTTTTTAAAAAAAGATTCTATTTTTTTCAGAATACCTTTAATTAATTAATTAATTAATTAATTTTTTACATGGTGCTGAGGATCAAACCCAGGGTCTCACACATGCTAGGCAAGTGCTCTACCACTGAGATACAGCCCCAGCTCCCTGTTTTTCTTTCACAAGAGTGCACCTATAGGGCTGGAGATGTGGCTCAAGCGGTAGCACACAAGCCTGGCATGTGTGCGGCTCAGGTTCGATCCTCAGCACCACATACAAACAAAGATGTTGTGTCTGCCGAAAACTAAAAAATAAATATTAAAAAATTCTCTCTCACTCTTTCTTTAAAAAAAAAAAAGAGTGCACCTATAGCCTCAGTTACTAGAGAAGCTGAGGCAGAAGGATCATTTGAGCCTGGGAGTTTGAGGCTGGCCTCATCAACACAGTGAGACTCTGTCCTCAGAGAAGAGGAGGAGAAAGGTTTTTATGATTACTTAAAAAATAAGTTAAATTACTCAACTTATACTGAATTTTAAAGCAAAAATATCTACATTGAAGGAAGTTCTTGCTTGTCTTGCTCTAGGGGTCCTCTTGGCCTACTTCTAAGCCCCAACTATACTTTTCTTTTTCTTCAACATTCATATATTTTCTCAAAATCATAGGAAACTGGTAGAGCTTGTATTAAAGCTGTGAGGAAATAAAATTGGAGTGCTGTAATTGGAGGCAGGAATGCTATTTAGATTTAGTGATCACTGTGATTGGAAACATGGGAATGATATGACCTAAAATCACATTCCAGTTATTAAGAGATCTCTCCAGCTACCAAAATGGAAGCAGTCAGGCTTCTATAGTTGCAGATGTCCAGTTTAGAGAAATAGAGAATCAAGGGCTGGGGGTGTAGCTCAGTGGTAGAGTGCTCACCTAGCTATAAGCTCTGACTTCAATCCCCAGCACTATAAAGTAAAAAAAAAAAAAAGAAGAAGAAGAAGAAGAAGTAGATTAGTAGACCACAGTGGTAGATTGGCAGCAGCAGTGTTTGCAACTTGTCAGGAGCCCTGAGGACACAGCCCACTCAGCTCTGTTTTTCTCTCTTTTTCTTCTTATCCTTCTCCTTCTTTTTGGTACTGGTAATTGAAACCACAAGCGCCTACCACTGAGCCACATCCCTTTACGTTTTTTGAGACAGGGTCACACTAAGTTGTACAAGGCCTTACTAAGTTGCTGAGGCTGGCCTCAAAATTGAGATTCTCCTGAGCTGCTAGGATTACAGGAGTGAGTCACCACACCTCTGGTTTCTGGTGTGCTCTCTCTTTGTTACAGGGCTGTGGTGTTCTGGGAAACTGAGGCCACCTTCAAAAACCCATTCTTTTTTTTTTTGGTACTGGGGATTGAACCCAGGGGCACTCAAACATTGAGCCTCTCCCCAGTCCTTTATTGAATTTTATTTGGAGACAGAGTCTCATTGAGTTGTTAAGAGTCTTGCTAAGTTGCTGAGGCTGGCTTTGAACTTGAAACCCTCCTACCTCAGCCTTCTGAGCCATGCCAAGACATCAGCTTCAAACACCATCCTTGAGATCAAGTTAGAAAGATTTCAGATATATTGTCTAGAGTAACAGGCATGAATTTATTGAAGGGACAGGAAAAGAGAAAGGGGACACTCTTAAGGGAGAGAGAGGGTCCTCTTAGGGATAGCATGTATGTCCTGCATGCCAGCTTTATTGGGGATGCCCGAGAAGTTTCCAGAGGGTCCCACCCAGGTCTACCTCTTGAGTTTTGACTGACAGCAGGATGACATCAGACTTTCACATCCCCACTGTCATGACAACTTTAGGTCATTTTGGCCTATGCTGACCAGGTCTAATTTGATTTTTTTTTTTTTTAACTATCTTTATTTTTAAGTGGTACAGAGGATGGAACCCAGTGCCTCACACATGTGAGGTAAGCTACACTGAGCTACAACCCCAGTCCCTCTAATTGGATTCTTTTTTTTTCTTTTTTTTTTTAATATACATATTTTTTAGTTGTAGATGGACACAATACCTTTGTTTTTATTTTTATGTGGTGCCAGGGATTGAACCCACTTCATGCAGGCAAGGCAAGCGCTCTACCACTGAGCCACAACCCTGGCCCCTCTAATTGGATTCTTGAATTTTTTTTTTTTATGGGGGGGGCTGAGATTGAACCCAGGGCCTTCTGCATGTGAGGCAAGCACACTACCAACTGAGCTATATCCCCAGCCCTCTAATTGGATTCTTAGCCATAAATTCTTTTTTTTTTTTTTTTTTTGGTACTGGGGATTGAACCCAGGGCCTCATGCATGTGAAGCAAGTACTCTACCAACTGAGCTATATCCCCAGCCCCAGCCATAAATTCTTAAAGAGTTTATAGTTAAGAGGAATTTTCCTTATTTACCCAAGTTTCCGCATCTAGTCTGTATAAAGGGTCACAAAAGTTTCCCCCTTCAGGGTCACTTGGGTTCCTCTTATCAACATTATTTGGGGCCTGCAGTTCTCCTGCGGATAACAGGTAGTTTGCTGAGGAATGTGACATATCCCATCCACTTAATACAGGCAGGGCTGAACATAAATTGCTTCTTATTAAGAATGTGGGGACACCATAGAGGGGGTATTTTATAGAATTATTCCCTTAACCTCTTGTTCCCACCTTCCACTTCTATCTTCTATCATCTTGAGGGAAGACCAATGTCCAAATCAGATGGGAATTTGGACAGAGCTATGGGTGTTTATGTGTCATGCTGGACTCTGTGGGGTCTGGATCTATCCTTCCGAGGAGTTTGTGTCTTTTAGCCTCAGTCTCTGTCTGTGAAGTACAATAGTATCTACCACCTACTAGGCATACAACTACATGAGGATATTAAGTTATGGGCAGCCACTATTTTGTTATTAATAGCCAGAAGAGCACAGAAAGTCTTGGGGTGTTTGTAAACATCTCCCAAATGGATACTTGCTAATAGGAACCTTTACACTGTCTTATACACTCGGCCCTTTGTATTTTCCAAAGTTTCTCCCAGAAATTTCCTTTCACACCTCTCAGAAGCCCTGGGGGGTGGGCAGGAGAGAGTAATTAGCCTCGTTTATATGCAAGGAAGTTTAGCTTGGGGACACTCGCCCTGTTTCCCCTGCTGCTGATCACTAAGTGTAAAACTAGGCTCCTGGGTACTAATCTATTTCCGCATTTCCTTCTCAAGGCAAGCAAAGGGTTTGGCTAGTGGCTGAGAAACGCTGAGAAGTGGTCAGAGGCAGAGGCTGCAGGCGACACCCCACCCTTGGCGCGAGCCCCGGATGAGGAAGTGGCGCGGTCACCGAGACGAGGAGGAGGCCTGGCGAGAGCGGCCCGGGACGCGGGGGCGGGAAGGGGGCGGTGCCCCTGGGCGGAGCTACGGGAGCGGCGCGGGTTCTCAGGTGAGCTCTCCTTGGCTGTGTAGGGCCTGCCGGTTCCTAGAACTCGGGGGTGGGAAGCCTGCGGGCTGTACCGGGTTACGTGGGGTGTTCTGAGGAGGCGGGGGTACTTACTGAGGGTCCGGCCCTCGGGGCTCCGGCCTGAGGTGGGAAGGGGTTCCGGAGCTGCAGGTGAGTGGAGCTGCCCACTCTGAGCTGGGGCGTGGGGGGCCTCCGAGGGAGGGGGCCTTGGCCCCGGTTCGAGTCCCGACTCGGTCCCCAACCTGCTTTGTCACCTTGGACAAGTCTTGCTCCCTCTTTGAGTCTCAGCGGCCTCAGCGGAAGGGTCCGCTGAGAGTTCGTACTGATGGAACCCCCTGCTTTCCTCTTATTCATACTTGCCTTGCCCAGGACTTTGTTGGGTGAACGCAAATTGCGGGAGTGCTCCAAAGTGTCTGAGTGACCTTGGGCAAGTCCCTTGTGTTTTGTCTACAAATGGAGTAGGTTAACCTCTTTTAAGATTTCTGTATTATTTGGGTATTATTGGTATAGATGGAGACCAGGTAATGAATGTCCCATTTACTGCAAGTGTCCTCTTTAGGGATGCGATAGATAGAATATCTTTTTAGAGGTTTGACCAGACCCGGCCCCCAATTACCCTTAGTTCTTAGATTCTGGATTGTTTTCCCTCTTTTTGTGATTGGCGGAGTGATTTCATCCTGTGTTTGGCGCTTCCTCTCAACTGAGTAATACCAAAATCAGAAGAGGAGTGCAAGGAAAGTCTGACATTCCAGCCTTCTTGTTTGTGTTTCAATGGCAGGGACGCAAGATGACTTCTCTGCTCCAAGATTGGAACAGCTGAAGGAAACCAAAGGACAAGATGAGAACAACAAAGGTCTACAAACTGGTCATCCACAAGAAGGGCTTTGGAGGCAGTGGTCAGTATTGATTGATCTTTGGGGGTTGTGCAAGTTGGCTGAAATTCTGATGTGTCCAGTGACTGGAAAATTACGCATCAACTCATGTGACAGTTGAGGCTAGACAGGCAACTTTCCTGAGTAAAGCAGGAATAAGAAGTATGATAGGACTTATAAACCACAGGCCCTTTCTAAAAGTATTTTCATTCAGGCTTTTAATGAACATTGTGAATATTGCCAGTTTATTTTCATTCATTTGTTGAATTGTGTTGCTTATTACAAATTTACTGTATATTTAAAATTCCAGCCTACACTTGTTTGGCAGATAAGAGAAACTAAAATGGTATTTTAGTGTTTAGAGTCAGTGAGACTTTGCATAGATGTGTATAGAACAGGTATGGTCAAAGCATGAAAGTTTGCCTGTCTCCTTGCCATAAAAAGGGACAGGATGCAGCATGTTAGCTTGCACTAAAGCATAATCTGCATAATAGCTCTGCCTCTGACTTTCCATATTCATCTCAGGTAAGCCTCTAGTTTTCCTTATCTTCAAGTTCAAGGGCTTTCTTTCTTCCTTTTTTTTTTTTTTAAGTATAGATGAACACAATACTTTTTTTTCTTATTTATTTTTATATGGTGCTGAAGATCCAACCCAGTGCCTCACACATGCTAGGCTAGTCTCTACTATTGAGCTACAGTCCCAGCCTTCAAGGGCTTTCTTTACAATAGTTTTTCTTAGAGCCTTGACTTCATAAATCTGCAGAAAAGTAGGGCACTTGGTAGTATGATATTCTTCTTTTGTAAAGGAATTATTTTCCCTTACATCTTAACAACCTTATTTACTTCAGAATTTGCAATTAATGACATATTAAGTGTTTTTTAGCCCCCCTCCCCTTTTTTTCTGTACTGAGGATTGAATCCAGGTGCTTCCACATGTTAGGTGTGCTCTACCACTGAACTATAGCCTCATCCTCAGCTCTTTTTTATTTTTTATTTTGAGAGGTCTCACTAAGTTGCTGAGATTAGCCTTGAATTTGCAATCCTCTTGCCTCAGCCTTTCTGAGTAGCTGAGAATGTATAAATGAGCCCACAGTACTTGGATGTATTTTAAGTTATATATATATGGCGGAGATCAAAACCAGGGCCTCACACATGTAGCAAGTGCTCTACCACTGAACTATACCTCCACACTTGGAGGTATAGAAGAAAAAAATTTAGAAAAGAAATTAAAAAAAAAAAATCTCTCTCTCTCTCTCTATATTTCTTTAAAATGTTGATGGAGATTTATTTTATTCATTTATGTATATGCTGTGCTGAGAATCTAACCCAGTGCCTCATACATGTGAAGCAAGCACTCTATCACTGAGCCACAACCCCAACCTCTAATCTATATTTTAGTATGCATTTATTCCTATATTAAATATGTATAAGCCGTTAGAGGGTAGGGACTGCCAAAAAGGGAAAATAGTAGTTTTTATATCTGATGTTTTGAGTCTTTGCTTAAATGATGTAATGGACCAGACACAGGCATGGCTATATTTAAAACACAATTTCTGCTAAAATGTACAGACCATTGTCAATACTATACTTTGTGTGCTGTTGGTGTTGCCTAAATATTTGTGGAGTAGATAGATACTAAATAGACAACAGAAATAATTTTGGCATGGGGAATAACACAAGGATATAGTGTGAATAACATATACAATGTATATAAATCTACTTTTTTATGTACGTAAGACATGTGGCTAGGTAACATACCGAAAATTATAAATATACAACCAATATATATTTATTAGGCTTATAGTTATGCCAAACATAAAGATTATGAGTATGACAAGGTCTCTTTAAGTTTAATGAGAAACATAGAAAAAAGGAAACTAAACAAAACAAAATATGTGCTCATGGAACTTAATTCAGACTTTGGAAATTAGGAGGAGGCATCACAGAGATTTGGCAAAAAACTGTCAATGGAAATGTTTTATCAAATAAATTTGGGATTAACCCAATGCTTCATTCACTTCATTAGACTGAATCTCTTCCATCTGCCACCTTACTGGAACTGGAACCCAGGGCTTTCAAGTGCTGGGCAAATGTTGCAGTGCCACTGAGCTACATCCCCAGCAAGGCTGAATTTTATTGAGTAGGGTTATATTTGAAATGTGAAATGTACTTTTTAAAAATATTAGCTTAAATAAAGGTGATTATCTTCTTCCTAAAATAAAACCATTGGTGGGACTGCAAATTAGTACAACCACTCTGGAAAACAGTATGGAGATTCCTCAAAAAACTGGAAATGGAACCATAATATAACCCTGCTGTCCCACTCCTTGATACATATCCAAAACATCTAAAATCAGCATACTATAGGTATGCAGCCACATCAGTGCTTATAAGCAGCACAATTTACAATAGCCAAGCTATGGAACCAACCTGTATGCCCATCAACAGAGGAATGGATAAAGAAAATGTGGTACATATACACAGTGGAGTTTTACTCAGCTATAAGGAATAATGAAATTAGGCATTTGCTGGTAAATGGATGGAACTGGAGAATATCATGTTAAATGAAATAAGCGAGACTCAGAAATTCTGTCAGGGGTCAAATGTTTTCTCGGATGTGTTGAAGCTAGATTAAAATAAGGACAAAAAAAGATGGGGTGGGGCTGTGATTTTATGAAAATAAATTAGTGGAGTAGAGGAAGTGGAGTGAGGGGGAGGGAGGCGGAAGGAGGGAGTGGCAAAGGGATGAGTCTGACCAAACTTTCCTACTTATACATATGATTATACCACAGTGAATTCACCTTTATATCCATAAAGTAATAATTTTAAAAAACTATAAATAAATAGATGAAATATCACTAGAGTAGAGGAAAGGAAATGGGGAAGGAGGAGGGAAGGGAAAGGGGGAAGTATTGGGGATAAATTGGAGCAAATTATATTCTGTGCTTGTAAATTGTCAAATGAATCATAATATTATGTATAACTAAAATGAACTAATAAAAATTATTTTAAATAGCTAGGCATGGTGGTGTCTGACTGTAATCCCAGTGGCTCAGGGGGCTGAGGCAGGAGGATGACAAGTTCACAGCCAGTCTCAGCAACTTGGGCTCCCAGCAACTTAATGAGATCCTGCCTCAAAGTAGAAAATAAAAAGGGCTGGGGACATGGCTCAGTGATTAAGTTCCCCTGAATTTAACCCCTGGTAGGAAAAAAAAAAAAGATAATCTTAGTGTCTGGAGGTATAGCTCTATGGTAGAGCACTTGCCTAGTATGAATGAGGCCCTGAGTTTAATAGTTTAATACACAGTCCCACAAAAACAAAAGACCCATAGCATATGGTGTCAGACTCCTGTCATTCCAGCTACTCAGGAAGCTTAGGGGGGCTGGGGATGTGGCTCAAGCGGTGGCATGCTCGCCTGGCATGCGTGCGGCCCAGGTTCGATCCTCAGCACCACATACAATGATGTTGTGTCCGCCGAAAAATAAAAATTCTCTCTCTCTCCCCTCTCTCTCTCTCTCTTTAAAAAAAAAAAAAAAAAAAAAAAAAGCTTAGGCAGAAGGATCATCAGTTCAAGGCTACATGGCAACTTAGTGAGACCCTCTCTCATAATAAAAAAGGGCTAGAAAAATAGCATAGTGGTAGAGCACTTGTCTTGCATGTGCAAGGTCCTGGGTTCAGTTCCCAATGGTGCAAAAAAAAAAAAAAAAAAAAAGAAATTTATGAGTGCATTTTGTACTTGTTATTTTTACTTTTTGGGATGGGTTTCTGGGATTTAATTCAGGGCTTCATGACTGCTAAGCACATGCTTCACCTTAGAGTTACAGACCCAGCTTCTGTTTTCTATTTAAGATTGAATTGTCTTTCAGATGATGAGCTAGTTGTGAACCCCAAAGTGTTTCCTCACATCAAGCTTGGAGACATTGTGGAGATTGCTCACCCCAACGATGAATACAGGTGAGCATCTTGCTAGGATAAGCAAACCAGGCAGCCTGCTGCTTCCAATTGATGTTTGACTTTAAAATGCTAATGTCCTTTGAGATTGGGTCAACCATTAGTGTTTTTAATTTTTTTTTTTTAGATGTTGATGGACCTTTATTTTATTCATTTATTTATATACAGTGCTGAGAATTAAACCCAGTGCCTCACACATGTTAAGCAAGTGCTCTACCACTGAGCCACAACTGCAGCTCCTGGTTTTTTTTTAAAGTGGTCCACTCTTTCTGTTTTTAAAGCTGGGATGACATCTCTGAAAGATTATGTTGCACTTTTCCATTTCTTTTCCTGCAAGTACAGTTTCTTTGTTTCTAATGGAATTCTCATAGTGCTACAAATTATAGTATGTCCAAGAGTGATTTGTTTATCTTTTGTGGGGGTTGAAGAAAGCTGGGGAATTACTGCTTATGGTCTCTCACATCTTTGTTTTTTACTTTATTAGCCCTTTGCTTTTGCAAGTCAAGTCACTTAAGGAGGATTTACAAAAAGGTAAACATTACAGCTCTCTTCTTTTTTTAAAAATACTAGTTGTTAATGGACCTTTATTTTATTTGTTTTTATGTGGTGCTGAGGATTGAACCCAGTGCCTCACACATGCTAGGCAAGTGCTCTATCACTGAGCCAAAACTCCAGCCCCTTGAGCTCTCTTCTTTGAGAATTTTATATTTACTATTTTAGAAACTAATAGACTTCTAATCTCAGAGTATGAGGGCGAGTACTTTTCTTCTTATCAAATTCTATTCCCTCTTTAAATAATTGTCACCTATCAAAACTGCCAATGAATCTCATCTGTCAGCAACGTGAGGGCACTGAAGAAACTATATTTAGAGTCAGGAGAAAAGTTAATCTGACTATGGGAAGTTTTATATTTAATTCCTCCCACCAAAAAAAAAAAAAAAAGATGTTGTTAAAGCATAGTTTCCTAAATATTATTTATATATATATTTGTGTGTGTGTGTGTGTGTGTGTATATATATATATTAAAAAAAAAAATATATATATATATATATTATTTTTATTATTATTATTATTTTTCTCCCCACAAAATATTTAAGTGCAACTCTGGGTGAGGTAGGGGCATGGAAGAAACATATATTGATGATTGTTCTAATACTTGTCCAAACTCTGTACAGGGAATGTGTGTGTGTGTTGGGGGGAGGGGGTGGGGAGAGGGGCGGGGGGGGGCTTGAATTGGAGGATACTGTTTCTGAGCTATATTCCCAGCCCTTTTTAAAAATATATTTTGATCCAGGGTCTTCCTAAGTTGCCCACACAGGTCTCGAACTTGTGATTCTCCTGCTTCAGCCTCCCAGATAATGGGGATTATAGATGTGCACCACTATGCCCAACTACTTACTCACTCTGGATCCAAATTCTTTCCCTTTTCCTCTAATGGCTATGCCATGCTGTCCAAGGAACCCATATATTACTTTATAGGAAATAATTCTTTAAATAGTACTTCAAAGAAACAAACCAAAACACCCTTGTGATTTCTCCTAAAGGGCTTTGATATCAGCTTTTCATATTCAACTATTTGATATTTAAATTTCATAAGAAAAAATTCTGGCCTAGGGATGTAGGTTAGTGGTGGAATACTTACCTACTATAAGCAAGGTCCACAGTTTGATCCCTAGCACTGAAAAAAAAAAAAAAAAAAAAAAAAAAAACCCTGGTGTGTCTTGTTCTTTTTTTTTTTTAATATTTATTTTTTAGTTTTTTTTAGGTGGACATAATATCTTTATTTTATGTTTATGTTTATGCTGAGAATCGAACCCAGTGCCTCACGCATGCTAGGCGAGCACGCTACCACTTGAGCCACATCCCCAGTCCCTGGTGTGTCTTCTTAAGACTTTCCTTCATACCCTTACCCCATCTTCTGCCACCTGTTATATTTCTTATTTATCAAGCTTTAGGGCTCATTGAAAACTTCCTGAACTACATTATTATCTTCATTCTGAATAAGAAAAACTTTTTTTTTTTTTTTTAAATGGATTTCTTATAGGTCTTTGAACGTTCTTATTTTGCTGTATTGCTATTTTTGTGTGCTGGGGATTAAATTTAGGGGTTCAGTATGCTAAGTACATGTTCTACCACTAAGTTATACCTCCAGCCCAATGTTGTTTCTTTTTAAGTTCCTTGAAGGCAGAGAACATGTCTTGCCCAAGGCAGGTTATCAGTTGTGTTGCTTTTTTAATATCTCCATATTTATAGGTTAGAATATGTTTACCTGTTTTTTCAAAATGTGTTCTCTGATTCAGATTTTTTTTCTGTTTCAGAAACTATCAGTGTGGACCAGACTGTGACTCAAGTGTTCCGGCTAAGACCTTATCAAGATGTATACGTGAATGTTGTAGACCCTAAAGTATGTCTGTGTTCTGGACTTGAATATCTTTTTAGAATGATTTGTACCCTTTCTCCAAGTCTAAATCATTAAAGAAATAATGAGTTACTTAAGTATAGTGTTAGATAATTAAATATGTGATTATATATATAGGTCATTTAGATTATAGGTGGTGGGTTGGGGATGTGGCTCAGTGGTAGAACGCTTGCCTGGCATGCGTGAGGCCCTGGGTTTGATCCCCAGCACTCCCCTCCCCCCAAAAAAGAAATAAAGATTATAGGTGGTATCTAGATTTCATTTAAATTCCCCCTGTGCTTTTCAAAGTTTGTTCTAGTAACATTCTATGTGTGAAGATGTATGTGTAATTCTCTGTTAAATTACTAAAATTTCTTTATTTCTAATTTTTTTCTTGAAATGCTATAATAGGTAAAAAACATTGTCGAAAGGTATTATTGACATATAGGAAAATAAAGTTCAATGTTATATTTGTATGGTAGAATTCAAGATTAAACACAGGGCATGATGGTGTGCACCTATAGTTCTGGTTACTCAGGTGGCTAAGGTGAGAGGATCACTTGAGCCTGTGAGTTCAAGACCAGTCTGGGCAACATAGTGAGACCCTGTCTCAAAAACACAAACCACAAGCAAACTAAAATAGCAAACAGACTAAAACACAAAATTAGTACTTTGTTACTCTTCACTAAATGTGGTAAGTGCTATAGGATCTGTTGGAGACTTATCGTGTGTACTTAACAACCTTTGGTGTATAAAATTCTGTTTGTTGGGATTCTGCTATTTAGGATGACCTTTCAGTAGTTTTCTTTCTTGCAAAAGTGTTTTTCTCATGATGAGTGAGCATTATCTTATTATTATAAAGTGTGGCAAAGTAATGCAGAGAGGTATGTTTGATTATTCCTTTTAGGATGTGACCCTTGACCTAGTGGAATTAACTTTTAAGGATCAATACATTGGCCGAGGGGATATGTGGCGACTAAAGAAAAGTTTGGTAAGATGTGATTTAAAAAAAAGCCTCTTATTCCATTATATAAATAATTCTTCTTTATCATAGAGATTTATAAGATCTTTTAGGGAGAAGAATATAGAATCATTTCTGCTTCTAGCATCTGCAGACAATTACTGTAAACATCTTGTCATATCTTCTTCAACTCTCTTTGTAGTTTGTTTTTGAGATTTGTTTTTGTTTATTGTTACAGATGTTTACTTTACATTTTAGGCTTGAATGGGAAATTATAGAACTAGGTCTTCTGGCTTCCAGGTTGTGCTGCTTTTTTTTTTTGGTGTGTGTGTGTGGTGCTGTGGTGCTAGGGAGTGCCTTGTGCATGTGAGGCAAGCACTGTACCAACTGAGCTACATCCCCAGTCCTGTACTGCTTTTTTGCTGTACCCTCCTCCCATTTTCCTTATTTACTTATTTTTGTGGTGCTGGGAATTGAACCCAGGACCCTTATGCATGTGAGGCAAGTTCTCACTAAGCTACACCCCTAGACCTACTTCTTTCTTTTGATTGAATCCAGGAGCACTTTACCACTGAGCTACATTCCTAGGCCTTTTTCTTTTCCATTTTGAGATAGGATGTCAATAAATTGTTGAGGCTGGCCTTGAACTCGATCTTCCTGCCTCTGTCTTCCTAGTAGTTGGGATTATAGGCCTGCACCACCACTCCAGGCCCTATTTATTTATTTATTTTGGTACTGAGGATTGAACCCAGGGGTGCTTTACCAGTGAGCTGTATCTCCAGCCTGTTTATTATGAGACAGGGTCTTACTAAGTTGCTTAAAGCCTTGCTAAGTTGCTGACGCCAGCCTGGAACTTGTGATCCTTCTGCCTTGGTGCCCTTATCCAGCACTACAAAAAAATAAAACTAAATAAACAAACAAATCCTGTCATTAGCAATCTAATTTTTTAAAAAAATCAAGAGCATTTTGCAAAATATATGGTCCGATATACATCTGAATTTATCCTATTACAGGCATGGATTACAGGCATGTCCCACTGTGTCTGGCTTCTATTTATTTATTTATTTATTTATTTTAGAGGTGTTGGGTATTGAAACCAAGGCCTTACACAGGCTTGACAAGCACTGGACCACTGAGCTACACATCCCCCACCCTATTTATTTATTTGGTACTGGGAATTGAACCTATGGGCACTTAACCACTGAGCCACATCCCCAGTCCTTTTATATTTTATTTAGAGACAGGGTCTCACTGAGTTGCTTCGAGCCTTGCTAAGTTGTTAAAGCTGGCTTTGAACTTGTGATCTTCCTGCCTCAGCCTCCTGAGCTGCTGGGATTACAGGTGTACGCTACTGGCTAATTTTTGATGACCTTTTTCCATTTAAAATGATCTATTCATCAAAATTGTGACTGGGTACTGAACACTCTTCTTATGGAGTTTTTGTGTATTATGAAATGACAAATATAAGTAGAACTTCCATGCAATGTGTATTTTTTGGAAGAAAAGTCTTTGTTTATATTTTTATTTGGTGAGGGAAGTTTCCATTTCCTAAAAATGCAAGATAAAGTGAGAAATAGGACTGGGCGTGTGGCTTAGTTATAAAGAGGATTGCCTAGCATGCTTGAAGCACTGGGTTCAATACCCAACACTATGAGAGAGAGAGAGAGAGAGAGAGAGAGAGAGAGAGAGAGAGAGAGAGAGAGAAACTGTGCTGTATTTAATTAATAAATTTGTGATACTAGGGATTGAACCCAGGGGTGAGGTACCGCTGAGCTATATCTCCAGCCCTTTTTATTTTTGAGACAGGGGTCTGGCTAAGTTGTTGAGGTTGACCTTGAGATTTTCCTGCCTTAGCCTCCTTAGTACTTGGGATTACAGACATGTGCCATGGCATCTAGCATCTGTATATATTTAAATGTATATATAGCTTGGTGCCGTGCATACCTATAATCTTAATCTCAGTAATTTGAGAGGCTGAGGCAGCAGTACCAAGTTCACTACCAGCCTGGTCAACTTAGCTGGAGCCTGTCTTGAAATTAAAAATAAAAACATTCCAGATATATACCTCAGTGGTATAGCACCTGTGGGCTCAAACCTCTGTACCTCAAAACAACAACAACAAAATTATTTACATGTAGATATCTGTGTAAATGTGTGAAGTATATATGTCAAACTGATCACTTATTAATATTGTTTTTATTATTGTCTATACTTCCTAACCTTTTTTCCTTTTTTAATTTAAACTTGGTGGCTTTGTTTTGCACTTTTAAAATTCAGAACATGCTTTACAATATCTGCTTTCCTTGTGTTGAACATCAAGACTTTATGGTAAGACAATGGAATTTTATCACATCAGTCAGGTATACTATAAACAAAAATGGATAATTTACAAATAAAATTTTTTAAAAAATATTTTATTAGTTGTTGTTGGACCTTTATTTTTATATGGTGCTGAGAATCGAACCCAGTTCCTCACACATGCTAGGCAAGTGCTCTACCACTGAGCCACAATCCCAGCCCCTACAAATAAAACTTTTTAATCAAGAGTATTTTATCTGGATGTGATGACACACCTGTAATCCCAGCTACTCAGGAGGCTGAGGTGAGAGAATTGCAAGTTTGAGGTCAACCTCGGCAATTTAGCAAGCCTACACAAAATAATCCCCTTCTCAAAATACAAAATAAAAAGGACTGGGGATGTGGTTAAGCCCACCTGGTTTCAATCCCCAGTGCAACAACAACAATAAAACATTTTAAGGATTGGCCATGTAGCTCAGTGGTAGAGGTTGCTTAGCATGCTTGAAGACCTGGGTTCAATCTCCAGCACTACAAAAAAATAAAACTAAACAAACAAATCCTGTCATTAGCAATCTAATTAAAAAAAATCAAGAGCATTTTACAAAATATATGGTCTGATATACATCTGAATTTATCCTATAATTAGACTTTGAAGGGTATTTAAAAAAAGAAAGAACCCCAACATATTTAACACTGAATAGCCTAGCAGAATAATGCTGGTGTATACTTGCCAAACTCTTAAGAATTTATTATACTTGTGCCAACATGGTGTCCTGTGGGGTAAATCTATTACTTCCATGTTGATTACACTTTGAATTGTTAGGAAAAATTAGAAAGCCAGGAGATCTTGTTTGCATGGCCTTGACAGGTTGAATCTCTTTCTCTTTTTTCCTTTAGGTCAGCACATGTGCCTATATCACCCAGAAGGTGGAATTTGCTGGCATCAGGTAGGTATTAAATCACTTTTGACCTACCAGTAAGTAAACAGAAGTAGGATCTAGTGCAAGAACTGGGCTACATAAGGTACTTGAGGCACATGGATACCCGTGTAATAAAATACTACTATCATACCTTTTATGTAATAAAATACAAAAACTACTATCATACCCGTGTTTTAAGCTCTTTTGTATTTTATTACACGGGTATGATAGTAGTTTTTGTATTTTATTACATAAAAGGTATGATAGTAGTTTTAAGATTAGTGGTAGAAGTTGCTGAAGCCCTGGTTTTCTGTAGCAAAGAGTTTTAGACTTATATATATTAGAGCTGGAAAAAACCTAAGATTTGATCTATCTATTATTATTATTATTATTTACCCGGGATTAAACCCAGGAATGCTTAACCCCTGAGCCACATCCCAGCCCTTTTTAATATTTTGTTTAGAGACAGGTGTCACTGAGTTGCTTAGGGTCTCACTAAGTTGCTTTGAACATACAATTCTCCTGCCTTAGCCTCCTAAGGCCCTGGGATTACAGGCATGTGCCAGCATGCCCAGCCTTAGATGAATATATTTAATCAAACCTCATTTTACAGATTAGAAAACAGGTTTAGGGATATAATAGTGACTAGAATAGTAGTTCCTGATTTGTTGCCTTTGTAAGTATATTGCAGTGCTCTATATTTGTTAAAATTATTTCTGTATTTCAGTTTGTAATGAAAATAGAAAAAAATCTTTTTGAAATCCTCCTCTTTTTTTTTTTTTTGTGGTACTGGAGATTGAACCCAGAGCCTCATACATGTTAGGCAAGTGTTTTGCCATGAGCTATACCTGCAGCCCTGAAATTCCTTTTAAATTAAAGAACTATGGGCTGGGGTTGTGGCTCTGTGGTAGAGTGCTTGGCTGGCATATGTGAGGCACTGGGTTCAATCCTTAGCACCCCATAAAAAAGTTAACAAAATAAAGACATACTGTCCATCTGCAAGTACAAAGAACGAACAAACAACAACAAAAACAAAAACAAACAGGATATGGGCTTTATTTGATCTACAGGCTATGTATAGCTTGCTGAGCCCTGGTTTGGAAACCCTGTCAGAGTGACTGGGGGCATACCTAACATGCAGTAAGCCCTGGGTTCAATCCCCAAGTCCAAAAATAAAACAACCCTCTCAGATGTCTTACATTTCTTTTTTTCTCTTTGGCAGCAGGGGGTGGGGGGGCAGTATTAAAGCCAGGGCCTCATGCTTGCCAGGCTAGAGGTCTGTCACTGACTTATCCCCAGACCTTTTGATTTTTGAATTTGTGATCTTCTTGCCTAAGTCTGTGGAGTTTCTGGAATAATAGTCATGTACCACCATTCCCAGCTATGTATACTATTTTGTGTTCTTTTGTCTGTTTAAAAGTGTATAAATATTTCTTATGAAATTAGAATTCCTTGTAAACATTATTGAAATGATTCCATGATATTTTGTTGTATGGTTTGATAATTTATTATTAATATACCACTGTTGAACATTTAACTTCTTCAAAGGTATGTAATGTAAATGACTGTCCAGTGACCACACTTTGTTATTTTAGCTTTTTGTTCCCAGAATGATGAAACTTGGTTGTAATGGATGGTGGAGACCATTGATCCCAAACAGTTATTGATAAAAGAGAGGGAAGTGACCAGGCCAAGCTTATGGAATTAATGCCCCCCAAGTCTCTTCACCCTGATCTAGGGCTTGGCAATGTGCCATTCTGCCTCTTTGTGGGAAGTCATCTGTGTTACTTAGGTTGTGTCCTACAGGATGTGGATTTTGTGCTTACATTTGCCAGCAACATTTTCTCTTTCTTGAACTGGTAGAAAAGAAAAGAGTACTGCCTCAGGGTTATTCTTAGCTTCAACTAGGTAAAGACAAATTAATTAAGACCAAGGAGTAAGGATTCACGTTGTATTTTCTGTGTGTATACCTGCATTAAAAAACAACTATTTCCCTCTGGGCATTATGGTGCATGCTTATAATCCTAGTGAGTTGGGAGGCAGAGGCAGGAGGATCACAGTTTGAGGCTAGCCTTGGCAACTCCATGAGACCCTGTCTCAGAATAAAATTAAAAAGGGGCAGGGAAGGGGCTGGGGTTGTGGCTCAGCGGTTGAGTGCTTGCCTCGAACGTGTAAGGCACTGAGTTTGATCCTCAGTACCATATAAAAATAAATAAACAAAATAAAGATCTTGTGTCCATGTATAACTAAAAAATATTGAGAAAAAGGGGGGGGGGCAGGGAATGTAGCTCAGTAGTAGGACACCCCTGGGTTCAACCCCCAGTACCATCAAAAACAACCCCCCCCCCCAAATCACTATTTCCACAGGAATGATAATAACATTTTGTAGTTTATTTACTAGCTCTTCTCATTAATGGTAGGCCATTTAATATTCCTGAGAGCTCTAGAAGAGGGAAGGGGCAAGATTCTAATTAACATTTGCTGATTTTTAAAAACCTGGTCTCAGAAAGGGCTATGGCTTGACCCCTAACAGGGAGTGAAAATGCAGGACTCTAAGCCAATTCTTTAACACTGCTTTGCATATACATACTTGGAGAAGTTGGTTAGTTAATTTATTAACAATGAGCTTGTTTAGAGACCCCACTGATGTGGTGTTTGGTAGCTTATATGGAGAGTGCTTCTTGCTAATGAAACTCACAGAACATGGGAACATTGAAACTGTACAGGGTGAGTATCTCTTTTTGTGTGTATGTGGTACTGGGGATTAAACCCAGGGACACTGTACCATTAAGCTACATGCCCAGCCTTCTTATTTATTATTCTGAAACAGGGTCTTACTAAGTTGCTGAGGCCAACTTCAGATTTGGGATTCTCTTGCCTAAGCCTCTTAAGACCCTGGGATTACAGGCATGCACTATCATGCCTGTCCAGGTTGAGTATCTCTGACTTGAAATGCTTGGCACTAGAAGTATTTCAGAAACTGGATTTTTTCAGATTTTGGAATATTTGCATGCACATAATGATATCTTGGAGTTGGGACCCCATTGCAAAAAGAATTCATTTGTTTCTTGTTTACCTTCTACACATAGCTTGAGATTATTTTTTTTAAAATATTTTTTTAGTTATAGATTAACACAATATCTTTCTTTCTTTATTTTTATGTGGTGCTGAGGATTGAACTCAGTGCCTCACATGTGTGAGGCAAGTGCTCTATCACTAAGCTATAACCCTAGCCCCTAATTTTTTTTTTAATACTTTTTTGTGGTGCTGGAGATTGAAATCAGCTTCTTGTGCATACTCCACCACTGGGCTATATCTGCAACCCTAATTTTATACAGTGCTTTTAGTGTGCTTGTCTTTTGACTCTGACTCTTATCACAGTGAAGTCAATGGAATTTTCCACTGTGGCATCATGTAGGCATTGGAGAATTTAATATTTTAGATTTTTGGATTAGGGATGCTCAACCTGTAATATTAAAGAAATAGTGGCCCCTTCTCAAGTCAGGTTTGTTCTACTTGACCATTCAGACATAATTGGGCAATAGCATATTATGAGATATATTTTTTAGGACCACGAGAAGGATGCTTGAAAACCAAAGATTTGGTCTAATCCTCTTCATTTTACAGATACAGCAGAGGCTCAGAGAGGTTGAGAGTGTCTAGCATTTTCCTGGGTAGTCTCAGTTATCATAGTCTCTGTTATGACTCATGGCACATAGCATTTTCTTGGCTTTTATTTTATTTACATATATTAATGTATGTATGTTATATGTGTGTGTTATTTATACATATAATATATGTATATATATATATATATATATGTAATTGTTTGAGGGATGATTACCTTGTTCTCAGATATCTCTCCAAGATAGCATTTTATTAAAATATTTGCTATTGTTGTAGTTCTTACTTATAAGAATAGCCCCTAGTACTCTTAACTGAACACTTCTATCCTGGCATTATTCTGAAGTTTCCCACATTATCTGGTTTAATTCTCATAACAGCTCATTTTATACAATAAGAACACTGATCCTCTCAGAGTTTCCCCAGGGTCATTTAACTAATAAATAGCACTTAGGGCTGGGATTCTTTCCTTGATTAGTTTCTCCCCAGGTTAGTCAGGTCTTTTTACTATTATCCATTTCATACCCTTAATTTTTTTAGTTATAAATGGACACAATATCTTTATTTTATTTATTTATATATATATATATATATATATATATATATATTTTATTTGTTTATTTTTATGTGGTGCTGAGGATCGAATGCAGTGCCTCATTCAGGCTAGGCAAGAGCTCTACCACTGAGTTACAACTTCAGCCCTCATACCCTTAAATTTTTTCAGAGGAAAAAAGCTGGAAAAATGTAATGCTAAGTTGTCATTAAAATTTTTCAACAGAGCCAGATTGCCTGTGGTACTGAGAATTGTATCTGGGATGCTCTACCATTGAGCTACATTTGCAGCCCCTTTTACTTATTTATTTAATTTATTTATTTGGGGATACTGTGATTGAACTCAGAGGTACTAGACCACTGAGCCACATCCCCAGCCCAATTTTGTATTTTATTTGTAGAGACAGGGTCTCACTGAATTGCTTAGCAATTCCCCTTTGAAATCATGGTCTTCTTGTCTCAGCCTACTGAGCCACTGGGGATACAGGTGTGTGCCACTGTGCCAAGCCTCTTTTATTTTCTGAGACAGGGTCTTGATAAATTGCCAAGACTAGCCTCAAATTTGTAATCCTCCTGTTTTAGCCTTCCAAGTAGATGGAATTACAGGTGTGCACTATCTTGTCAAACAACTGCTTTTTAACTTTTTATGTGCCCAGATAATTCTGCCCAGATAATCTTGCATTTCAGAGGGTTATGGATTCCCTGGAGTTCTCTCTTCCTTAGAAGTATAAATTATCTATGAACTCCCAGATTAAGAGCTCTTGTTTTTATGTATTCAATGCACTATGAAATTTTTTTTTATGTTGAGTAATCTGTTCATGGAATTCTTTTTGTAAGTGTGTAATTAATCAAGTCATTTGGGTATAACTGTTAGAGTAGAGCTAGCTATCTGAAGTTCTTATTTCTTCTTGATTTAAGACTTGTAATAATTTATGTTTGTCTTTCCTTTCAGGGCACAAGCTGGTGAGCTGTGGGTCAAGAATGAGAAGGTCATGTGTGGTTATATCAGTGAAGATACCAGGGTAAGATTTATAAAGTATTTTTTTTTTTTTTTTGGTTTTATTTCCTTGTAGTATTATGTCTTAGTCCTAAGATCAAAATAAAACAAAGAAAAAAAATTCATAATTGCTATTGGTTTGCCTTTATGGAATTAGAATCAGAGTGCTCTGCAACTCTGATGTTTACAGTTGTATCTTTGCAGGTTGGGGATTGATCTTTGTTTTTTTTTCTTTTTTAGTTGGACACAATTGCTTTTTTTTTTTTTTTAATTGATTTATTTTTTATGTGCTGCTGAGGATTGAACCCCGGGCTGCACATGTGCTAGGCCAGTGCTCAACCGCTGAGCCATAATCCCAGCCTGTGTCGTTTTATTCCAAATCAGCCTATTTAATGTTCAACATAGAGGTATGGTGTCTAGTCTGCAAGATTCTCTGTCCACTGATACATAGCAAAAGTGAAACTCATTGAAGATCATGTCGTAAACATGAAGAGAGACCTTTGCAAAGGAATCCTTTCTGGGTCTCTGCTGTGGTGGGAAGAATCCAAGTTGAACAGCTGTGAATATTACTCATGCTGGTCAAACTATCTCAACTAGGTGTGATTTTGCTGCCTCAGGAGTCTTTTGGCAATGTCCAGATTTTTTTGGTTGTTATAACTGAGTTATTGTGCTATTGGCATCCATATATATATATATAGATAGATAGATAGATAGATAGATAGATAGATAGATAGAACGAACAGGCCTCCAAACAAAGAATTACCTGGCCCAAATGTCAGTAATGGGAACTGTCTTGTGCATTTTGGTATATTTAACAGCATCCCTGGCTTCTGCTCATGAGATGCCAGTTTCATTTTCTGACCCCCCCTACAAATCATGACACCCAGATATGTCTCTGGATGGTACCAGATCCCCTGAGGGGCAAAATCACCCCTGGTTAAGAATCAGTGTCTTTACAGACAGGTAGCTGCTATTTGAATTTCATTTTTATATTTTCCTGTCATTCATTTAGTGTTAATATGTATATATTTTACCTCAATAGTACATTATTTGTTTCACTTATTTTTGAAAATTTCTTTTGGCTCGGTGCCGTGATGCATGCCTGTAATCCCAGTGGCTCTTGGGGCTAAGACAGGAGGATCAACTTAGTGAGGCACTAAGCAACTCATTGAGACCCTGTCTCTAAATAAAATACAAAATGGGGCTGGGGATGTGGCTCAGTGGTTGAGTGCTCCTGAGTTCAATCCCCATTAACAACAACAACAAAAGAATTAATGAACTGTAGCTACAAGTAATAATATGAATGAATTTTAGCACACAGTGTTAAGTGACAGATTTCCAAAAAAGATTATACAGAGCCAAATATTGTTTTTATAATATTAAAAATACTAAATACTTATTTTTTATTTGTTCTTTTTAGTTATACATGAGAGTAGAGTCTATTTTGATATATTTGTTCAAGCATGGAATATATCTGATTTTAATTTGGATCCCAGTCTTGTGGATGATCAAGATGGAAAGGTCACTGGTTTTTTTAGGGAGACCCTGTCTTAAAACTGTTTTTTTTTTTTGTTTCGATTTTGTTGAACAAAAACCCCAAAGCAACAGTAGCTATAATGCTTAAAGTCAACTATTTTATTTTTCTTTTCATGTAAGAGAACTCTGGTTACATAATTCATGGTGGGCATGACAGTGTCACACTTTATTTGTGATCTATTAAGGTCTCCATCTATCTTCCTGCTCTGCCATCTTGAAATCATGGCTAGGACTTCCATGATCCAGCTCACGCTCCTGAAACCACATCCCATATTCTAGGCAGAATATTCTAGGGAGAGAAGACAAGAGATGGTTACTTTTCAACCAATTGCATTTCTTTTAAGGATATAGTACATCTTACTAGGGCTCAGGGTTAGCATGCATAAGGTCCTGGGTTCAATTCCCAACAACAAAATAAAGAAAATATAGCAAAACCCCATTTACATCTTACTGGCTAGAATTTAGTTGAATGTTGCTGCTAAGACTAGGAAGTTTAGTCTTTTGGTTTGGTCCCTTGCCTCCCAAAATAGAATCTGCTTTGGAAAATGGATGTTAAATAGTTATTTAGTAATCTCTTGAATGTCCATTGAATGACATTTTATTTTATTATTTTTTTATACTGGGGGTTGAACCCAGAGGTACTTTACTACTGAGCCACATCCCCAGCCATTTTTAATTTTTATTTTGAGACAGGGTCTTCCTAAGTTTTTGAGACTGCCCCCAAACTTCCTATCCTGCCTCAGTATTCTGAGTTGCTGGGATTATAGGCATACACCATTATGTTTGGTTAGCACTGTAAAATTTTTTACTTTTTATTTTTATTTTTTTGGTGGTTCTGGGGATTGAACCCAGGGCCTTATGCATGCAAGGCAAGCACTCTACCAACTGAGCTATATCCCTAGCCCAGCATTGTAAAATTTTAAGTAATGAATGTCACAATACCTTCCTTCTTTACATTGAATGAGATATATATACATACATATACATATATATGTATATATATATATATACACACACACACATATATTTGTATATATATATAACTTTTATTTTTTTGGTACCTTGGGGTTGAACTCAGGGGCATTTGACTTCTGAGCCACATTCCCAGTCCTATTTTATATTTTATTTAGAGATGGTCTCACTGAGTTGCTTAGCACCTTGCTTTTGCTGAGTTGGCTTTGAACTCTGGATCCTTCTGCCTCAGCCTGCCAAGCCACTGGGGTTATAGGCATGTGCCAATATGCCCGGCTGCATTTTTTTTTTTTTTTTTTTTAATGCTGGGGATTGAATGCAGGAGTTTGCACATGTTAAGCACACACTCTAGCACTGAGCTATACCATCTGTCAGCCCTCTTATTTTTTATTTTATTTTTAAAAATTTTTTTCTAGTAAATGGACACAATGCCTTTATTTTATTTTTATGTGGCTTGGCACCGGGGCTCGAACCTAGTGCCTCACGTGTGCCAGGCAAGCGCTCTACCAGCTGAGCCACAACCCCGGCCAGCCCTCTTATTATTATTATTATTGTTTTCAATATTTTTTTCTAGTTGTTCTCTGACATTTTTTTTTTTTTTTTTTTGAAAAGATGAATGTCATTTATTGGATGTGCAATTGGATGTCCAATCTTTTTTTTTGGTACCAGGGATTGAACTCAAGGACACTAAACCAATGAGCCACACCCCCAGCCTTATTTTGTCTTTTAGAGACAGAGTCTCACTGAGTTGCTAAGTGCCTTGCCATTGCTGAGGCTGGCTTTGAACTCACAATCCTCCTATCTTAGCCTCCCCAGCCGCTGGGATTACAGGTGTGTTCCACCTCGCCCGCTGTCATGGACTTTTATTTTATTTATTTATATGTGTTGCTGAGGATCAAACCCATTGCCTCACACATGCTAGGTAAGTGTTCTACCACTGAGCTGCAGCCCTAGCCCCAGACCGCTTGTTTAAAGAAAAACTTTATTACCAGGTTACTTACCTGATTTTCCAACCCCAAAAAGATTAGAAGTAGGGCTGGGGTTGTGCTCAGAGGTAGAGCGTTTGCCTAGTATGCGTGAGGCACTGGGTTCGATTCTCAACACCACATACAAATAAAGATATTGTGTCCACCTATAACTAAACAACTAATAAATATTAAAAAAAAGATTAGAAGTGTTAAATTTAAAGGGAAAGGGAGTATTTATTTCTGCAACTTTTACTATGTTTATTTTTTGAGATGGGGTCTTGCTGTGTTATGCAGGTTGGCCTGGAATTCCTGGGCTCAAGTGATCCTCTCACCTCATATAGTCCTGATAGGAAAGTAAAATGGTGCAGCCACTGTGGAAAACAGCTTAGTGGTTCTTCAAAAAGTTAAGCACCGTGAACTGTGTGTAGCTCAGTGGTAGAGCATTTGCCTAGCATCCATAAGCCTTGTGTTATATTTCCAAGGATACTGCGTAGTTACTATATTACCCAGAAATTCTATTCCTAGGTATTTACCTGAGAGAACTGAAAAGCATATGTACCCACCAAAACTTGTACATGAATGTTTGCAACAGGATTATGTATAATAGCCCAAAAGTAGAAACTAGCCAGCTGTTCATCAGCTGATAAATGGAGAAACAAAAATGTGGTATTTCCACATAATTTTCAGCAATAAGAATGAAATTCTTGGGCTGGGGATGTGGCTCAAGCAGTAATGTGCTCTCCTGGCATGTGCGGGGCACTGGGTTCGATGCTCAGCACCATATAAAAATAAAAAAATAAAGATGTTGTGTCCATCAAAAACTAAAAAGTAAATATTAAAACATTTTTTTTTTCTCTCAAAAAAAAAAATGAAATTCTTAATTTTCAGTGTATTGAGGGTCTGTGTGTGTGTGTGTGTGTTGGGGTGTTAATATGAGGTCCTTTTTCTTTTCTTTTTTCTTTTTTTTTTGGTACCAGGGATTGAACTCAGGGGGCACTTGGCCACTGAGTCACATCCCCAGCTCTGTTTTGTATTTTATTTAAAGACAAGGTCTCACTGAGTTGCTTAGCTCCTCAGCATTGTTGAGGCTGGGTTTGAACTCATGGTTCTCCTGTCTCAGCCTCCTGAGTTGCCAGGATTATAGGCATGCACCAGTGTGCCCAGCTTTTTTTTCCTTTTTAAAAATTTTTTTAAAAACTTTTTTTTTAAAACCTTTTTTTTTAAATACTTTTTTTTTTGTAGTTGTAGATGGACAGAATGTCTTTAGTTTATTTGTTTATTTTTATGTGGTGCTAAGGATCAAACCCAGTGCCCCACACATGCTAGGCAAGTGCTCTGCCACTGAGCTACACCACAGCCCTTAAAATGTTTTTGAGATGGGGGTCTCGATATGTTGCCTAGGCTGGCCTTGAATTCACAATTCTTTTGCCTCAGCCTCCTTAATAATTGGGATTACAAGTGTAACCCCTCCTCTCTCCAGTTTGACATTCTTTTGGATTCATGCAACAAAGTGGATGAAGTTGGAAAACATTATGCTGAGTGAAAACAACCAGTCACAAAAGACCACATAGAGTATGATTCTATTGGTGTGAAATATTCACAATTATTAATGAAATGTCATCCAGAATAGGCAAGTTCATAGAGAGGAAATTGGGGAATAAGAGGTAATGGTTATGGGGTTTCTTTTTGGAGCGATGGAAATTCTCTGGAATTAATGGTGATGGTTGTACAATGTTGTGAATATACTTGAAACTACTGAATTGCAGAAATCTATTTGTAAAAACCCAAACCTGTTTGGGGGTGTAGCTTGGTGATAGAGTGCTTGCCTAGCATGTACATGGCCTTGGGTTTGATCTCCGGCACTGCAAAAATAAAAGGGACTTTTGGAAGCCTTTTGAATGAAATAATAACTATCACTTTACAGTTTCAAAGTGGAGAGCACATAAAAAAACAATTGTAGAATGCAGTACAGTGGTTGGAGTGTCTCCATCAAAATTCATGTTGAAGAAATTTTTTTTTGTGTGGAGATACTAAGGATTGCTAAATTGTTGGGGGTTATGCTAATTGCTGAGGCTGGCCTTGAATTTGTACTTTTCCTGTCTTAGCAAAACAAACAAACAAAAACTTTGATTATCAGAGCCTTAAATGTTTATTATAAAAAATTTAGATAATATATATTTCTATTTCTTTTTCTGAAGTATGTCATAATTTAAAAAAATAAACAGGTCTCAGGATAAAGCTCACTGTTTGCTTAGCATGTGTGAGGCACTGGGTTTGATTCCTAGTACTGCAAAAAACAAAACAAAACAAACAAAACCCAAAGGAACAAAATTCCTCATACCAGTCAATACCAGAGATGATCAAAGTTGACATTTTGAAAGGTATATTTCCTCTTTGTCTTTGTGTTCTGTGTGTTAGAGAAGGAGAATGAACTTATCAAATACCTGTTATGTCCCAGGGAGTATAGAAAGCCCCAAGAGTATGATCTTTAAAGATGCTTCTGTCTTTAAGAAGCAGGTCTCTAAATGAACTAACTAAAGTAGTGTCACAGATTTATATTCTGCTTTCATATCAAGCCTCTTCAGAACCTCATGGAGGAGGAAAGAACTGGGCAAAGATCCTATGGTAAAACACATGTGGCCAGAATGCCACTTATGCTTTTCCTTGAGGCAGTCTGGGCAAAGAGGAAGTATGAATTATAATTTATTAGACTGGCAAATGATTTCATTTTCATTTGGTATATTTTTGCCCAGGTTCTGTTTCCATAATGAGCTTTCTGTGACTTTCCCAGGTGGATTCTCTGCCCTTTCTGCTTCATTTCTTGTGTGAATGAATCTTCATGGATTGTTTGTACATATTGCAATATTTTTCACATTGACATCATGTGCTATAAACTCCAAGAGGGCAGGGACTAAATCTTATTACTGCCAATAATACAAGGACCAGAGTATGAGCTGAGTAATTGTTTAAATGAAAGAAAGAAAAGAAGCATGCTTTTTTTTTTTTACATCTTAATTTTATTTTATGTGGTGCTGAGGATCGAACCCAGGGCCCCCGCACATGCCAGGCGAGCAAGTTACCGCTTGAGCCACATCTCCAGCCCCAAGAAGCATGCTTTTTAAAAGACAGTATTGAGCTGGGTGTGGTGGTGCATACCTATAATCCCAATGGCTGGGGAGGCTGCAGCAAGAGGATTGGAAGTTCAAAGCCAGCCTCAGCAACTTAGTGAGGCCCTAAGCAACTCGGTGAGACCTTGTCTTCTAAATTAAATATAAAAAAAGGCTAGGGATGTGGCTTAGTGATTAAGTGCCTGGGGTTCAATCCCCACATACCAAAAAAAAAAAAAAAAAAAAAGTGTTAAAACACATAAAATTTACAATAGGAAATCACCATGCCCAGCAATAGGAAACATTAAGTGTGTAGTTCAGTGTGTTAAGTTTATTTACACTGTTGTAAAACAGATCTTCAGGAACTACTTCATTTTGCAACACCAAAATCATACATCATTGTGTTTTTTTTTTTGGCAGTACTGGGGATTGAACCTATGGTGCTTTACCACTGAGCTACATCACCAGTCCTTTTCTATATTTTATTTTGAGACAGGGTCTTGCTGAGTTGTTGGCCTTAAACTTGGAATCCTGCCTCAGCCTCCTGAGTTGCTGGGATTACAGGCGTGGGCCACTGTGCCTGACTGCATTATTATTTTCTAATGCAATTATGTTTTTTTTCCTCCTGTTTCAGGTGGTGTTCCGTTCTACGTCAGCTATGGTTTACATATTTATTCAGATGAGCTGTGAAATGTGGGATTTTGATATTTATGGTAATGTTCTCTAAGTGCTGATTGTAACTGCCACTAGGTAGAGTTTTCTCTTAAGTTGCAATCATTTTACCGTAAACTCTTGACACTCTTTAAAGATGTGCCTTGATGCTAAGGTAGATAGACGGACTATATATAGAGAGATAAATTTTATGTATGTATGAAGTTGAGAAATAAATTTATATATATATACACACACATATATACATATACACACATGTATCTATAGTCTTTATATTTATGCATAAATATATAAAGTTGGTATATAAAGGTTATATTTTTGTATGTTTGTATATATATATATGTGCGCCACCACGTCCAGCCAGATCTTGATCTTTAAGTATATAGTGAAAAGTTAGAGTGCCAGGTGCAGTGGCACATGCCTGTAATCCCAATGTCTTGAGAGGCTGAGGCAGGAGAATTGCAAGTTCAAAGCCAAGCTCAGCAAAACGAAGCATTAAGCAACTCAGTGAGACTCTGTCTCTAAATAAAATACAAAATAGGGCTGGGGATGTGGCTCAGTGGTTGAGTGCTCCTGAGTTCAATCCCAAGTACCCCTGTACCCCCCCAAAAAAAGTTACAGAGTGACAACTCTGGTTAGCAACAGATACAACAGATACCTTCTTTGATATTTTACATTTCTTTTTCTAACACTTACAGAAATAATCAAATTTATTTTATTATATTAGAATTAGGACATAATGAGAACAATGAAAATGCTAGATGCTATGTCCAACATATTAGCCTTATGGTACATGATATTCAAATTTGTGTTTAGCAAAATTACACATTAATGTTTGCTGTGAGTTGACAAGGTCACTTATGCATAGCAAGAACTACAGATGATAATTTGTGAATTCCCAGGGTCTATCAATTCATTTGCTAATACACTTTAAACATCACTATGAGCATAATCATATTTGGAGGTTAGGTTGTTCTCATTTTGAGATATACTGTATTTATCAATAATCTAGGCTTTTTTTTTTCTTTTTTAATTATTTTTTTTGTAGTTGTAGATGGACGGAATGCCTTTATTTTATTTGTTTATTTTTATGTGGTGCTGAGGATCGAACCCAGTGCCTCATGCATGCTAGGCAAGCGCTCTACCACTGAGCTACAGCCCCAGCCCCAAAAATCTAGGCTTTTTTTCCAAGCTAACATTTTACCTTGAAGCCATAGCCTACAACTAAGGGAAACAGATATTAAATTTGGCTTGATAGAAAGTCTGGGATGAAACAAATCTCCTTGTACTTTTGGCTTTTATGATCTTGTTTTAAGGTCTAGCAGAGTCTACCATTTTCTCTTTGGTCTCATTTCTTTTACTTTTTAGAGAAGAAATGAAAGCAAGAAATAAGGTTAGTCCTCATATTCTTACTATTTCTTTTCAGGGGATCTGTATTTTGAGAAAGCTGTGAATGGTTTCCTTGCTGATCTATTTACCAAGTGGAAGGTACGTTTCTTCTTCTACACTAAGTCTCATTGGATAAATATTGGTCAATGCAGATTTTTTTTTTTTTTAAATTAGAGCATTACAGTTATAGTAGTTGGGTTCATTACATGCTAGGGATTTGATTTCAATCCCTATTTCCTGCCTGCTTTTTCCTCCCCTCTTTCCTCCCCATATTCTCCTTCCTGTGCTCTACTGGTCTTCCTTTTGCTCCTTTATTTATTTTTCATTGGTACTTTCTACTTATACAGAAAGTTGAAATTCCTTTTGGTACATTTATGTATTCATATAACATGATTTTGTTTAATTAATTCCATATTTCTTCCCCTTTTCCATCCTTCTTCCCTCTCTTTTGTTCTTCTTTGTTCTACTGATCTTTCCTATTATTTGTGATATCTAATCCCCTGCACCACTCCCCCACTGCTTTCTTTCTCTTATTTGCTCTATCTTCCATATATGAGAAAAGACATTTGATTCTTGATTTTCTGCTGGCTTATATCACTTAGCACTGGCTGGGGATGTGGCTCAGTGGTAGAGTGCTTGCCTAGCATGTATGAGGCCCTGGGTTCAATCCTCAGCACCACCAAAAATACACAAAAAAGCAATTCGTATATCACTTTGTATCACTTAGTGTGATATTCTCCATTTCCATGTATTTGCTGGCAGATGCCATTATTTCATCCTTCTTTATGGCTGAGTAAAACTATTGTGTATATATATATATATATATATATATATATATATATATATATATATATGTGATGGGCATCTGGGCTGATTCCATAATTTGGCTATTATGAATTATGCTGCTATAAACATTCAAGTAGCTATATCACTATAGTATGCTGACCTGACCCCTAAAGCTCAGGAAATAAAACCATCTCAATAAGTGAGATGCCATCAAATTAAAGCTTCTGTAGAGCAAAGGAAATGATTAAGAGTGTGAAGAGAGGGCCAACAGAATACAAAAATAATCTTTGCCAGCTACTCCTCTGACAGGGATTAATATTTAGAATTTATAAAGAACTCAAAAAACCCAATGCCAAAAGAATAACTCAGTCAATAAATGGGCAAAAGAACTAATCAGAAGTTTCTCAAAAGAAAAACAAATGACCAATAAATATATGAAAAAAATGGTTAGCATCTCTAGCAATCAGGGAAATGCAAGTCAAAATGATTCTAAGATTTTATCTCACTCTAATCAGGATGGCAATTATCAAGAACACCAATAGTAATAAATACTGGTGATGATGTGGGTGAAAAGGTACACAGATGCATTGTTGGTGGACTGCAATTTAGTTCAACCACTTTGGAAAGCCATGGGAGATTCCTCAAAAAAATAGGAATGGAATCACCATATAACCCACTTCTTGGCATTTATCCAAAGATCAAAAATCAATGCAGATTTTTAAAATGGATTGTTTCTATTAAGTTGCTTTAAATTAAGCTATGTTACCTAAAACTTCAACTCTAAACTAAGTATCATTTCAATATAGTAAAGAGTATTTATGAAACCCATAGCTGATATCATACTCAAGTTTGAAAGACTGAAAACTTTAACTTAGGATCAGGAATAAGGATGCTTGCTTTTGCCGCTGGTATTCAACATTGTTCTAGGAGTTCTAGGCAGAGCAACTTGGCAATAAAAGAAATAAAAGATATTCAAATAATACAATCAATCAACAAATATATGAAAAAATGCTCATCATCTCTAGCATAATCAGAGAAATGCAAATCAAAACCACTCTAAGATATCATCTCACTCCAGTCAGAATGTCAGCTATAATGAAGACAAACAACAATAAGTGTTGGCGAGGACACTCATACATGGCTAGTGGGACTGAACATTGGTGCAGCCAATATGGAAAGCAGTATGGAGATTCCTTGGAAAACTGGGTATGGAACCACTATTTGACCCAGCTATTCCTCTCCCCAGACTATACCCAAAGGACTTAAAAACAGCATACTGTTTTTAATGTTTATAGCAGCACAATTTACAATAGCTAAACTGTGGAGCCAACCTAGATGTCTTTCAGTGGATGAATGGATAAAAAAAATGTGGCATATACACAATGGAATTTTACTCAGCATTAAAAAAGAACAAAACCATGGCATTTGCAGGTAAATGGAGAAGATAATGCTAAGTGAAGTCAGCCAATCTCCCCAAAACAAATACCAAATGTTTTCTCTGATATAAGGAGGTTGACTCATAGTGGGGTAGGGAGGGAGAGCATGGGAGGAATAGATGAATTCTAGATAGGGAAGAGGGGTGGAAGAAAAAGGGAGGGGGCAGGGGATTAGCAAGGATGGTGGAATGTGATGGACATCCTTATACAAAGTACATGTATAAAGATTTAGGTGTCAGTATACTTTATATACAAACAGAGATACAAAAATTGTGGTATATATGTGTATTAAGAATTGTAATGCAAAAAAAAGCGCGTTACTTTAGGTAGATGGAAGTGAAAGGAGGGGAAGGCAGGGGATTTGGGGATAAGAAAGATAGTAGAATGAAACAGACATTATTACTTTATGTATATATGTAACTGTAGGACCAATGTGATTCTATAATATGTATACTCAGAAAAATGAGAAATTATATCACATCTATGTATGATATATCAAAGTATATAAGTGCATTCTACTGTCATATATAACTAATTAAAACAAATAAAAAATTTTAAAAAAAAGATATCCAAATAGGAAAAGAAGTAAAACTTATCTTTGTTTTCCAATAACATGATCCTATATGTAGAAAATCCTAAAAATCCATCTACAAAAAATTTATTAGTGCTAAATCAAGTAGAGTTTCTGGATATAAAATCTTCACAGAAAATTGATATTTGTATACCATCAAAGAACAACCAAAACAGGAAATTAGAGAAAGCATTTACAATAACATCAGAAGGAATAAAATACTTAAGGAAATAATTTACCCAAGGACTGGCAGGACTTGTATAATAAAATCTATAAAACCTTACTGAAAGAAATTAATAAAGACCCAAATAAAAAGCTTGTATTCACAGATTGAAATACTTGATGTTGTTAAAATGACTATACTACTCAAAGCAATCAGTACCTTTTTGCAGAAATGGAAAAGTTGATTCTAAGTTCATGTGGAATTTCAAGAAATCCTGAACAGCCAGAAACAGTCTTGTAAAGGAGAACACATTTGGAGGATTCAAATTTAACTAATTTTAAAACTTACTACAAAGCTACAGTCATTACAACAGTGATACTAGAATGAAGATACACATATAGATCAGTACATTAGAATTAAAAGTCCAGAAATCTATGATAGTTGATTTTGGATAAGGGTTTTAAGTTCATATAGTTGGGGAAAGAACAATATCTTTCAACAAGTGGTCTGGGACAACTGTATATCCATATGGAAAAGAATGAATTTGGATCCTTACCTCACATTATATACAAAGATTAACCAAAATTAAAGACCTAAATATAAGAGCTAAAACCTTGAAACTCTTAAAAAAACACTTAAGGGAAATCTTTATGATCTTGGATTTGGCAGGGTTTCTTAGATATGTCAGCAAAAGTACAACAAACTGAAGAAGAAATAAATAAATTAAACTTTGAAAATCTGGGCTAGGGTTGTGGCTCAGTGATAGAGTGCTTGCCTAGCTATTGTGAGGCACTGGGTTTGATCCCCAGCACCACATAAAAAAATTAAATAAACAAAGGTATTGTGTCCATCTTCAACTAAAAATATTTTTTAAAAAATGAAAGTTCAACAGAGTTGTAGTTGTAGTTCAGTGGTTGAGCATGTGCTTAGCATGTACAAGATCCTCTGGTTTCAATTTACATACACACACACACACAGACACACTGAAAACTTTGTGCCTCAAAGGACACTAGCAAGAAAGTGAAAATAGCATTGAGAAAATATCAGCAACTTTTAGAACTCAAGAAGTCACACTAATTAATAAATGGACAAAGGAGTTGAATATATATTTCTCCGAAGAACATATACAAATGGATAAGTATGTAAAAAGGTGTCCAAGTATTAGTCATTAGGAAAATACAAGCTAATACCACAGTGAAATACTACTTCACATTTGCTAAGACAACTAATTATGCATACATACATATATGTGCATGTGGGTGTGTGATGCTAGGACTTAACCCAGGACCTCATATATGCTCTACCATTGAATCACATTCCCAGGCTCTAGGAATATATATATATATTTTTTTTTGGTACCAAGGATTGAAATCAGCGGCACCCAACCCCTGAGCCACATCCCCAGCACTATTTTGTATCTAATAATACTTTTTTTTAAAATGAAGTATGTATAATAAGTATTGGAGAGAATATGGAGAATTTGAAACTCTTATATATTGTGGCTGGGAATGTAAAATCGTATGGCCACTATGGAAAATAAGTTGTTATTTCCTCAATAAATTAAATGGAATTTCTGTGTGACCCAGCAGTTCCATACTTGGGAATGTATAATCATTCCTCATTATCCATAGAGTTCCAGGTCCCCCTGTGGATACCAAAATCTTTGGAATGGATGCTCAAGTTCCTTATATAAAATGTTGTAACTTTTGCATAAAATCTATGTATCTTTCCAAATACTTTAAATAATCTTTAGATTATTTACAATACGTAATATAAGGTAACCACTGTGCAAATAATTGCTGTGTTGTATTCTTTAGGAAATAATGGGAAGAAAAAAGTTTGTACATGTTCAGTATGATGAAATTTTTTTTCTTGAGTATGTTTGATCTACGGTTGGTTATTTGTGGATAATGGATCCATTCATATGGAGGGCAAGTTATACTTGATAGAATTGAAAACATATTCACACAAAAACTCATATGTGCATATTCTTTTTTTGTGTGTGCTAGGGATTGAACCTAGGGCCTCATACATGCTAGGCAAGTTACTCTACCACTGAACTATACTTCCATCCCACATGCATATCCCTAACAACATTATTCATAATAGATAACGAGTGGAAACAACACAAATATCTGTAAGCTAATGAGTGAATAAATAAAATCAGGTATATCCATACAATATAGTATGTTCAGCTGCAAAAAGGAATGAAGTGCTAATATATGCTATGACATGGGTGAATATGTTTTTTTTTGGTACCCAGGGATGCTTAACCACTGAGCCATGTTCCCATATCTTTTAAATATTTTATTTAGATATAGTCTTGCTCAGTTGCTTAGGGCCTTGCTAAGTTGCTGTGGCTGACCTTGAACTAATGAGCCTCCTGCCTCAGTCTCTTGGGTTGCTGGGATTATAGGCATGTGCCACCAAGATGAATCTTGAAAACATGCTAAATGGGAAAATCTAAACAAATGACCACATAAAATTTCATTTGCCTGAAATGTCCAGAATAAACAAATATATAGAGGTGAATAGTAGATTTTTGGTTGCAATGGACTGAGGGTGGAGTGACTATGACATGGGATTTCCTTTTGGGGTGATGAAAATGTTCTGGAACTATGTAGTAGTGATGGTTGCACAACACTGTAAATGTAGTAAATGACACTAATAGTACATTTATGTTACATTTATTTTACCACAATTTTTAAAAACCTACAAATTAGCTGACCTTTATTTCACATGGAAACATCATCCTGATCAAAAAAGTATTTCAGGTCATATTATGTAGTGGAAAAGAACATAAAGTTTTTTTTTTATTTTTCCCCCTAGCCCTTTTTTAAAAAAATATGTTTTGAGACAGGGTCTTGCTGAGTTGCTTAGGACCTCACTAAATTGCTAAGGCTGGCCTTGAACTTTCGATCCTCCTGGTTCAGCCTCCTGAATTGCTGGGATTATAGGCATGTGCCATCAGCCTGATTAGCTTTTTGATCTTGGAGAATTATTCAGTCTCTCTCAGCATCACTTTCCTTTTCTGCAAAATGGAAAGAAAAGTAATCCCTCTTTTTTCATCACATGAGTCAAGAAACTCTTCTGCCCACTCTAGTGCATTGTGACCTATTTTCTGTGAACCTCTTATATCAAAATTTGACAAGAATGTTGACTTTGGAGCATTTGGAGTTCAGTAACTTAGTGGGTAGCTAATGAAGGTCTGTTCTTTTCTAGTCCTCCGTTCTTAGTACTGTGACTTGTATTTAGGAATTTCTGTACACTTGAGATACAGCCATGGAAGAACATATAGTGGTATATAGTGCATTAAGTTGTATGCCTATGTGGTGAATACTGAATTATATGATTAGAAAGTATTGTTGGGATAGAGATGGGGTTGGAAGAACTGAAACTGAGCTTACTAACTTATTACAAGTAGCCACATTTCACATCCATCTGTAAACACCCTTCTTTTAGGATGTTATCTCTAGACTTCATGGAAATGTTTATTCTCAGTAGCTCTCACTCCCCATCTAAAAGATAATTTATGCCCTTGGCTTATACCTCCATTTCTCCGGCAGCCCCTATTCTTCATGCTACAATGGTGATAGGATATGGAAGTATTTTTGATCTTGAATCCAATACATCGAGTGCTATTCTTCTTCCCTAGATTGAAGTCTGAGGAAATTAAAAAAAAATAAAAACAAAAACAAACACAAAAAATACACTAATGTAAAACAAGTGCAAACATCTTGAGTTTTAGATACTGGAATGACTGATTTCATGCTAAATTAAGAGTTGGAAGATAGGAACATTTGCATATTGGTGATTTGCAGGTTTTCAAGCACTTTGTACATTCCTGGGGCTTTGGGTAACTTGCGCAAGGTCATGTGTGGTAAGTTTCAGAGCCAGGACTTGATCAATCTTCTGACTCTCAGTAGTGCTCTGTCCTATACTATGCTTTCTACAATTATATGACGTCATTACTCAATTCTGTGCACTATTGCTGAATCTCCTAAAATAGAATATTGTCACATGCAGGCCGCTATATTGTGAAGTAAATGAAATAAACTTGAGCCCTTTTATTCTCTACTTATGCTTAGGAGAAGAACTGCAGTCATGAAGTGACAGTGGTTCTGTTTTCTAGAACTTTCTATGATGCAAAATCTATTGGTGAGTAATTTTTTTTCTTTTTTAGTTTTTGTTATTTATTTGAGACTAAAATCTATGTTGCATAACTCAAACTCCTGGGCTCATTCGTTCCTTTTGCCTCAGCCTCCTGAGTAGTAACTGGGAATCCGGGTGCACATCACCTTGCTTGGTTATCTACATTTATCCCCAGCTATTCTTTTCATCTTCTTTGTATGAGAACAGGGTAAAATAGAAAATAAAATAGCATAGTATATCAGTGTATGTAAGAAGTCTGTGGGTTGTGATTCATCATAAAACGAACGTAATAGATACACAATTATCTTCATATTTTTGTTATACAAATCTTCAACCCAGAAGAGGAAGCTTACAAAGCTGTGAATTTATTGTTTTCAATATGCTCTACATACTATATTGGCTCTTTTTCAGATGAATTTCCTGAAATAAATCAAGCCTCAATTCGACAGGATCACAAAGGGCGATTCTATGAAGACTTTTACAAGTATGTTCGGGTACTTCACTATGTATGTATTGGTTGGTTGATTAATTGACTCTTTTCTAACTTAAAATAATTAAATTAATTAACCTTTTTATTTTGAAATAATTTTACATTTACAGAGAGATTGTTGATAGTACACTATAAAGAGTTCCTTTATAATGTTAAAACTTTCTTTTGATGTTAACCAATTTTCATAACCAAGTAACATTTGCTAAAATTAGGAAATTAGTATTGGGTCACTAGCATTAACAAAATTTCAGAATTTTCAGATTTCACAACTTATACCATTCATGTACTTTTTGTTGTTCTAGGATCTAATCCAACATACTGTGTTGTATTTAAACCTTCCATACTTTTTTCCTAGTACTTTTATTAAGTTTGATATGTGTTGATTTATGTACACATTTTTAAACCTTCCAAACTTGTTGTTCTGAAAAATGGTAACATGCAGAAAAAATAGAGTGAATAAATAATATAACAAACCTATGTACCCAATCCCTGGATTTATCGGTTATTATTTTGCTTCATACATTTTTTGGCTAAATTTTATTTTAAAGTAAATTGTAGATATTATAACATTTTATTCTTATGCAAAACCAAAACAGAACATTTTTTTTATTAGTTGCTCAAGACAATACAATGATCTTGACATATCATACATTTGATTCAAATGGGGTATGAATTCTTATTTTTCCACATGTACAGATTGCAGGATCACATTGGTTATACAGCCACATTTATACATACAGCAATACTAGTGTCTGTTGTATTCTGTTGCCCTTCCTATCCCCCCTCCCCTCCTCTCCCCTCCCATCACCTCTCTCTACCCAATCTACTGAGACACATTTCTCTCTTTCTTTTTTTTTTCCTCTTCCCCCTCACACTATCATATATGTAATTTTGTATAACAATGAGGGTCTCCTTCCTTTTTCTGTGCAATTCCCCTTCTCCCTCCTATTCCCTCCCATCTCTCGTCCCTGTTTAGTGGTAATCTTCTTCTCATGCTCTTCTTCCCTACTCTAAAACAGAACATTTCTATATATAAAATATTAATATTATCACATTTCACAATTAAAAAGTTGTAATAGTAATTCTATTGTATCATACACAATGTAGTGTGTATTCAGATTTCCTTAGTTGTCCTCAGAATAATTTATGTTTAGTCTATTCCCACCTCCTCACCCAGTATTGGAGATTAAACCTGGGGTGCTGTCCCACTGAACCACATCCCCATCCCTTTTTATTTTTTAATTTGAGACAGCATCTTACTAGGTTGTTTAGGGCCTCACTAAGTTGCTGAGACTCACCTTGAACTTGGGATCCTGTTTCAGTGTCCTGGGCCTCTGGGGTTTCATTCATGTGCCACTGTGTTGGTTTTAACCATTCACTTGTTGAAGACTCTAGGTTAGTAGTTCTGTGAACTGTGCTACTTAAGCTTTAGTATGGAACTGAGGAGCATTTGCCTGGATTTAATCCCTAGCCCTAAAAAGAATGAAAAAAAGAAAAATAAACAATATACTTTAATGTGCATGTGATCTACCCACTGGGATCTTGTACAAAATGCTTATCCTGTAAACTTTTTTTCCCCCATGGTACTAGTCATTGAATTTAGGACCTTGCTCATGTTAGGTAAGTGTTCTACCACTGAGTTACATCCCAGGTCCTTTTTTTTTTTTTTTTTAGTACCCAAGGGATTGAATCCCGGGGCAGTTAACCACTGAGCCACATCCTGAGCTCTTTTTATTTAATTTAATTTAATTTTTTTGTGGTACTGGGGATTGAACTCGGGGCCACTCGACCACTGAGCCTGATCCCCAGTCCTATTTTGTATTTTATTTAGAGACAGGCTCTCACTGAGTTGTTCAGCACCTTGCCTTTTGCTGAGGCTGGCTTTGAACTTATGATCCTCCTGTCTCAGCCTCCTGAGCTGCTGGGGTTTCAGGTGGGCTGGCAGCTCTTTTTATTTTTTATTTTGAGACTGAATCTCACTAAGTTGCTTAGGGCCTTGCTAAATTGCTGAAGCTAGCTTTGAACTTGTGATCCTCCTGTCTCAGCCTTCTGAGCTGCTGGGATTACAGGTGTGCACCACCACGCCCTGCTTTCATCCCAGTCTATTTTTAGATTTTATTTTGAGACAAGCTCTTATTAAATTGCTCAGGCTTGTCTCAAGTTTGCAATCTTCCTGTCTCAGCCTCAGGTATGTACCACTGTGTCTGACTTAAAATGTTTTTTCTTATCAGTTCAGGATTGGATGGGATAAATTTGCTTTTCTAGCTAGCTCCTGTGTTTTCACATATTGCTGGTGTTTACACAACAATTTGAGTAGGAAGGCTGTAGAATACCCTTTCTGGATTTATGTGATTGCATGTGTATGCAATAAGTTTTAACTTACTTTTTCTGTAAACTAGAGGTTACAACTGAGGTTCTCTGCTCCAGGATATTTAGTCATGTCTTGAGATATTTCTTATTTTCTTAAATGGGTGGTGGGAAGAAGGTATGCAGCTGGTATCTAGTGGGTAGAAATCAGGAATGTTTCTAAATGTCCCACAATGCAGAAAGTAGTCCCTCACAGTTATTTTGCTCAAAATATTAATGGTGCCTACATGGTACTAGGAATGGAATCACTATATGACCCAGCTATTTCACTCTTTGGTATATATCCCAAAGAATCATACTATAGTGATACAGCCACTTCAAAGTTTATAGCAGCACAATTCACAATTATCATGGAATTAACCTAGATACGTGTTATAGATGAATAGATGAAGAAATTGTGGTATATACACACAATGGAGTTTTACTCAGCCATAAAGAAGAATGGAATTATGGAATTTGCTTGTAAATGGATGGAAATGGAGAACATCAGGCTAAGTGAAATGAGCCAGTATTAGAAAATCAAGGGTAAACTCATATGTGGAAGCTAGAATAAAATAAAGGAAAGGAGGAGAGGATTGGATATCATAAAGATAAAGGGAAGATCAGTAGAAGAGAAGAAGATCAGGAAGGAGAGAGGAAGGATGGGAAAGGGGAGGAAATGCAGAAAAGATTTAAAAAATCATGCTATGTGTATCTATAAATATACCACAGGGAATTTTACCTTTATGTATAAATAGAAATAACCAATAAAAAATAAATAAGTAGAAGAATGAAAGGAAGATCAGTAGAGTAGATGAAGGAGAACACGAAGGGAGGAGGAGTGAGAAAAGTGGAGAACATGAACTTAAATTCCATGCATTACAAATTAGTCAGGATAAATCCAACTACTGTGTTTAACTATAATGCTGTATTAATTTAAAAAAAAAAAAGGTGCCTGCATTGAGAAGCCCTGCTTTGAAGACTTAGTTGAATCTTTTTTAGTAAGATTGTCTCGTTGATGCTTTGTACCTCACATGTATTGCAGCAGGACAAGAGATGAGTCTGGTGTCCCTGCAGTGTCATTGAGTAAGGGGGCATTTTTGTTTTTATTTTTTAATTAGCTTATCATACTGGAAATTGAACCCAGGAGCATTCTGCCTTGGAGCTAAAGACCCAGCTCTTTTTAAAATTTTATTTTGAGATAGGGTCTTGCCAAATTGCCAAAGCTGACCTCAAACTTGTGATCCTCCCCTCCTGAGTTACTGGGATTATAGGCATGTATCACTGTTTCCAGCTATTTTCATTTTTTAAAATTAAATTTTCTAAAATCATAATTTATTTTATATTGCAGGGGGACTGGGAATGGGAATTGATGCCAGGGGCACTGAGCTATATCTCCTGTTCTTTTTATTTTTATTTTGAGACAGGGCATTGCAAAATTGCCAAGGCTGACCTTGAATTTGTTATCCTCCTGCCTCAGTATCCTGAATCACTGGAATTATAGGCAAGCACCAACATGCCTAGCTTAAATTAAATTTACTTACTTATTTTTATTTTTTTTGGTACTAGAGATTTGACTTAGGGTTGCTTTATTACTGAATTACATCCCCAACCCTGTTTGTTTGTTTGTTTGTTACTAAGGATTGAACTCAAGGGAGCTTAACCACTGAGCCATAGCCCAGACACTTTTTATTTATTTATTTTATTAGTAAGATTGTCTCGTTGATGCTTTGTACCTCACATGTATCGCAGCAGGACAGAGCTGAGTCTGGTGTCCCTGCAGTATCACTGAGTAAGTAGCTCAGTGGTAGAGATCCCCTGGGTTTAATCCTTGGTACTGCAAAATAAAAAAGTGTAAGTACTTTATTAACTATAATTTTGTTTTTAATTAGTATTGATAAGTTCTAAAGAGTGACAGAAATTGTGGAAACCTTTTAGGCAATTGTTTTTCCTTTTTTTTTTTTTTGTGGTGCTGGGGATTGAACCTAGGGCCTTGTGCATACAAGGCAGACACTCTATTAACTGAGCTATATCCCCAGCCCTTAGGCAATTTTTAAGATAACCTTTTCCCCTGTGGTACTGAGGATTGAATCCAGGGACACTCTGCTACTGAACTACTTCCCCAGCCCTATTTATCTATTTATTTAAAAAATTTTGAGGTAGAGTCTTGTTCAGTTGTCCAGGCTAGCCATGAACTTTTGTCTTCTAGCCTCAGCCTCCTGATTGCTGGGATTACAGGCATGAGTGATCAAGACTGGCCTTTTTAAAATTTTATTTTGAGACAGGATCTCACCAAGTTGCCCAAACTGACCTTAAATTTGTGATCTTCCTGCCTTAGTTAGCCTCCTGAATAGTTAAGGTTATAGGCATGTAACACTATGCTTAGCTTGAATTATCATTTTATGTAGTTTAAAAAATAACATAGGTTTATCACAGGAAGTTTGAAAAATATAAAATGGCACAAGGTAGAAAATATTAGCAGCTCCACTGTCCTGTTAAGATGATGATAAGGGGCTGGGGGTTGTGACTCAGCGGTAGAGCACTTGCCTAGCACATGTGAGGCCCTGGGTTTAATCCTCAGCACCACATTAAAAAAAAAAAGGTTTATATAAAAAAAGATGATGATAAGATGGTAATTAAGCTGGGTGCAGTGTCGTATGTCTGTAATCCCAGAGTCTTGGAAGGCTGAGACTGGAGGATTGAGAGTTCAAAGCCAGCCTCAGCAAAATGGAGGCACTAAGCAACTCAGTGAGACCCTGTCTCTAAATAAAATACAAAATAGGGCTGGCTGGCAATGTGGCTCAGGTTGAGTACCCTTGAGTTCAATCCCTGGTACCCTCTCCCACGCCCCCACCAAAAAAGATGGTAATTACTGTTTATTTCAGACTTACCATGTATGGAGTACTATTTTAGGGCCTTTATATAACTTGATTCAGTTAAACAACACAACATCCTTATGAAATAGTTACTTTCATCCCATTTTATGGTTGTAGAAGTTTGTACACAGAGTTTAGGTAACTTACCCAAAGACAATGAAATATGCTGGGTTTGATGCAGTCTAAATCAGAGTCTGCTTTTAATCACTGTATTCTTCAACCTAATACTGATTGTATTTTAAATTATTTGTTGATCTTTTTCTTTATTTTAAATTAACATAATATATCTTTCTGGGATTTAGTGTGTTATTTCAGTACAGTAAGCCAGGCATAGAAAGACAGATGTCACATGATATCACTTATATTTGGAATCTAAAAAAATTAAGCTCATAGAAGTAGAGAACGGAGTAGTGGTTACCACAGGCTGGGGAAGACAGGGAAGTAGGGTATGTGAGGATGGTTGCATACCAGTTACAAAGTGACAGTCAGATAAGAGGAATAAGTTTTGGTGTTTTAATATACAGAATGAATATTATTAAAAATATTATTGAACTTTTTTTGGGTGGTGTATCTCTTGGAGAATTTTCTGAAAGCGATGGGCCATCTTTCTCAACACCATCAGTCATCCCTCATACAGATAAATGCTGCATACCAGTTCAGTGGGATCCTGGAGCTCTTTTGGCTTAAAAAAAAAAAAATATATATATATATATATATATATATATAAAATTATATCTATATGATAAATATTAATGCATTTGAATATAATTACAAATATATAAAAGATGTAAATTAGGAATATGAATTATTAATGTAGACTAATGGTTTATGTTATATATTATTAATATGTTAATTTTTTTTTTTAATGTCATTAAAATGCCTTTCCAACATTTTCCAGAGTGAATGAAATGATACAAGATCATTTTAGGAAAATCACAATATAGTTAAGTAAAGAGCAATACCCTCAATTCTATCTCCTAGATACACTCATCACCAACTTGGTGAATCAATCCCTGTTCTGTGTTTATAAAAACAAAAATTAATTTTTACAGAGTTGTGATCACACATTCCATTGATTTTTTTTTAACCTGTTTTATTTTTAATTTTTTAAAAAAATTTAAATTGTGGATGGACAGACTCTTTTGTTTTGTTTTGTTTTCTTTTCCTGAGGATCAAACCCAGGGCCTCACACATGCCAGGCAAGGGTTCTACCACTGAGCCACAACCCCAGCCCCCCCTACTGTTTTATACCTGCATTTTCCTACTTACTTTATCATCATTCCATGTCAAACACTCTACTTCTATAGTACCTTTTTTTTACTGCTATTTAGACATTCTGTTGGGTTACTATTGTTAAACGTTTAGGTGATTTCCAACTTTTTACTATCATCCTTACCAGTGAACAGTCTGTTTTTTCCTAGATACTGGAGATTGAACTCAGAAGCACTTTACCTACATCCCTAGTCCTTTTTTAAAGAAATAATTTAACCTTTATTTTATTTATTTGTTTGTTGTTGTTTATTTTTATGTGGAGCTGAGGATGGAACCCAGGGACTCACCCATCTTAGGCAAGCATTCTACCACTGAGCTATACTCCAGCCCCTCCCTCCTTTTTAAATTTTTTGTTTTTTTAGTTTGTTCTTTTTAGTTATACATCCCAGTCCTTTTAATTTTCATTTTGAGAAGAGTATTGATAAGTTGTTGAGGTTGGTCTTGAACTTGTAATGCTTCTGCCTCAGCCTATGGAGTTGAGATTACAGGTGAGTGCCACTGTGCCTGGCAATAAACAAATAAATTAAAAAAATATATAAAGGATGGGGATATAGCTCAGTGGTTGCCTAGCCTGTAAAGCCCTGTGTTTAATCAATCAATCTCTCTCTCTCTCTCTCTCTCTTACACACACACACACACACACACACACACCCATACACACAAAATGATTAAAGGGAAGTATATATATTTTTAAAATTTTAATTTATTATTATTTTTGGAATACATTCATGTGGTTCTAATTTTTAAAGTACACAGAGTATACTATAGGCAGATTCCCACCCATCCCTTTGTTCTTTTTTTTTTTTTTTTAATACCTTTATTTTATTTATTTATTTTTGTGTGGTGCTGAGGATTGAACTCAGAGCCTCGCACGTGCTAGGTGAGCGCTCTACCACTGAGCCACAACCCCAACCTCCCCTTTGTTATCTAGCTTTCTGATCTGGGTGTATTTGTTGGATATATCTGGAATACGGATGTTCCTTTTTAAGGTTTTTAATATGTACCCCCTAGTTGCAATTCATCAAAGTTTACATGCCCTCAACAGTATGTATAGATCTTAATATCCCTTCCCAACTTTAGGCATTGACATAATATCAGTGTGTTTTTTCCTTTTTTTTAAAAATACTGGGATTGAACCTAGGGGTGCTTTTACTGAGCTACATTCCCAGCTCCATTTAAATTTTTAAAAAATTTTTTTTAGTTGTAGATGGATACAATACTTTTATTTTATTTATTTATTTTTATGTAGTGCTAAGGATTGAACCCAGTGCCTCACATATGCTAGGCAAGTGCTCTACCACTGAGCTACAACCTCAGCCCCCATTTTTTTTTTTTTTAGTTTTAGGTGGACACAATATCTTTATTTTTATTTTTTATGTGGTGTTGAGGATCAAACCCAGCGCCCCGCACATGCCAGACGAGCGCGTTACCACTTGAGCCACATCCCTAGCCCTCAGCCCCCATTTTTAAAATTTTTATTTTGAGATAAGGTCTTACTAATGCCAAGGCTGGCCTTGAAGTTGTGATCCTCCACCTAAGCTCCTGAGTAACTGGGATTACAGCTGTGTGCCGTTGCACTTGGCTTATTTTCATATATTTAAAAAAATTTAGAATTTATATAACTATTGACTGGAGCTATAGCTTAGTGATATGCAAGGTTCTGGATAATTTATATGAATATTAATGTCATCATAATTTGTATGAATATTAATATCATCACATTTATTTATTTTAAAAAAGATTTATTTTTTAGTTGTAGTTGCACACAGTACCTTTATTTTATTTATGTGGTGCTGAAGATCGAACCCAGGGCCTTGCACATGCTAGGTGGACGCTCTACCGCTGAGCCACAACCCCAGCCCCATCACATTTCTTTATGTTTGTTGAGTACATTCAACTTTATTATTATGTAGTGAATTTCCCTGACTCTAGGAATCCTGTCTTCCTTTTTCCTTGAGTCTCTGTAAGGGACTTGATATCCTGTTAATAATTACTGCTTGATATCTCTTTTATGATAATACTATTTTCAGAGTGGTTGTGCAGAATGAGAGAAGAGAAGAATGGACTTCACTTCTAGTGACCATTAAAAAGCTCTTCATCCAGTATCCAGTTTTGGTGCGACTGGAACAGGCAGGTACTGCATTTATATGATAGATGGTGGGGTGGGGAGAGGAGGTGTAGGATGGAGGCTAGAGATTAAAAGAAGTTCATGCTTATTTCTCTTCCATTGCCATTTGACGTTTCTGCTTCTAGACAGGTTTTTATTTCTGATTGGATGCATTTGTTCATTACATATGCAGTTAAGTTGAACAGTGTCCCTAATACAGGTGAGGGGGAAACTCTATAGAACCAGATACCTTCCACTATTTTTTTTTCAATTTGTTCTTTTTAGTTATATATGACAGTAGAGTGTTTTTTGACATGTTATATGTACATGGAGTATAACTTGGTTATATATGACAGTAGAGTATATTTTGACATATATATGGATTATAATTTCCATTCTTGTGGTTATACATGTGGAGTTATACTTTTCACGTATTCACATATGAACATTATAAAGTTATGTCAGATTCATTCTACTGTCTTTCCTCTTCTCATCCTTCACGCCCCCTTCTCTTCATTCCCCTTTGTCTAATCCAGTGAACTTCTATCCTCCTGCCCCCATCCTTATTGTGTTAGTATCTGCATATCAGAGAGAACTTTTGGCCTTTGGTTTTTTTGGATTGGCTTATTTCAATTAACATGATCCTTCTACTAATTTTTTAAGAATTCATTTTTCATAAGCACACTTCTGTAATCCCAGTGACTTGGGAGGCTGAGGTAGGAGGATTGCAAATTCAAGGACAGCCTAGGAAATTTAGGGACATCCTGTCTCAAAATTAAAATGAAAAGGATTGGGTATGTAGCTCAGTGATAAAATACCCCTGGGTTCAATCCCCAGTAGAAAAAAAATTTTTTTCATCTTTCATGAGATGTTTTTCCTTCTCTTTTTGCTTCAGAGGGCTTTCCTCAAGGAGATAATTCTACCTCAGCACAAGGAAACTACCTAGAGGCCATCAATCTGTCATTCAATGGTAAGTACAGACACCAGCCACAGCCAGCATCTTACTTGGTATATGATTATGGACTTTACTGATGCCCAGAGTCCCAGACCTAGCCAATGATGCCTCCATCCACTCACTCCCCAAATTAATTCTAAGTAGTGACTTCTGATTAGTTGGTCTTAATGACCAACACTTACCTTTTGAGTCTTCTGTTGGGAAATTAATTTTGTAGTCTCATAAAGAACTGGAGGGATCTTCCTTGGGTTCTTTTTATTTTTTTAATACTACAAACTGTATTCTTATTTTTCAACTCATCCCTCAACTGCTTCTGGGTAATTTTTAAAAATTACTTTAAATAGCAAAGGAGTCAGGCACAGTGGCGCACGCCTGTCATCCCAGTGGCTCAGGAGGCTGCAGGAGAATTCGTGAGTTCAAAGCCAGCCTCAGCAAAATTGAGGTGCTAAGCAACTCTATGAGACCCTGTCTATAAATAAAAGACAAAGTAGGGCTGGGGATGTGGCTCAGTGGTTGAGTGCCCCTGAGTTCAATCCTTGGTACCCATCCCCCGAAAAGCAAAGGAAAGACAGTGGAATGAATCTGATACAGTTTTCCCATGTACACATATGAAAACAATACAGTGAATCCCACCACCATGTATATCCATAAGAAGGGGACTCCAACCTAGAATAAGATATATTCCAACTTATATAATTATATCACGATGGATTCTGCTGTTGTATGTAACTAAAAAGAACCAATTAAAAAAAAAAAGAAAAACAAAAGGAAAAATTAATAAAAGTAGGGGCTGGGGTTGTGGCTCAGTGGTAGAGTGCATGCCTAGCAGGCGTGAGGCACAGGGTTCGGTCCTCAGCACCACATAAAAGTAAAATAAAGATATTGGGTCCACCTACAACTAAAAAATAAATATTAAAAAAAATAAATAAAAGTATAGAATGGTATATCAAATAAGAAAAAGTCACTCCCCCATCAGTACTTTTCAAGAGGAGTCAATTGTTAGGAAATGTGGTGTGATTTCCTTCCTAAGGATCATTGTCCTTGTGTTTTTGTGGTAGCTGAGATACTATTATTTGCCAATAACAGAAACCTTCTGAGTTGGTTTAAATATTTGGTTTTGGAAGTTTCAGTACAGATTCCTTGATGGGTTATTAAATTTATGGCATGAAATTTGAGCATTTAGGCTGCACAAGGCAAGTCTTAAGCATTGATAAGGGGGATTGACAAAAGTGACAGTAATATAGTCCTTTGTTGAGGGAGTTGTTAATGTAAAAGAGGAAAGACATACATTTTAGTTAGAATTCAGGTCAGAGAGTGGCAATAGCTATTATTAAAATATGCATAAAATGCTCAGAGCACAGAGATACTTACTAGTAACTAGTTTTTGAAAAGCTGTTAACATTATTGGGGAATTTTTGTTTTCTTTCAAGTGTTTGACAAGCACTATATCAACCGCAACTTTGACCGGACTGGGCAGATGTCTGTGGTGATCACGCCTGGGGTGGGTGTCTTTGAAGTGGACCGCCTACTCATGATTTTGACCAAGCAACGGATGATAGATAATGGTAACACTGTCTTGTTTGTACTGTCTCTTGTGTTCAGGGTCCGACTTGTCCTTAGATCTCTGAGTTTTTATTGACTTTAGAGTTATGAGAAGCTCTACAAGGTGTTCTGTGTGTCATCTTTCTTAATGTATTTTTTTTTTGGGGGGGGACGGGGGGATTGGACCCAGGGCCTCATACATACTAGGCAAGCACTGTACCACTGAGCTACATTCCCAGCCCTTTTTATATTGAGACAAGGTCTTCCTAAGTTGCCCTGGCTGGCCTCAGACTTATAATTCTCCTGCCTCAGCCTTCTGAGTGGCTGAGATTATAGGTTTGCACCACTGTATCTGGCCCTTCCTCAGAATTTTTTAATATGTTAGTGTATCTTGTTTATCTCTAAAGGGAATATCTGGTATTCTGAGTTTCCAAACATATTTGACACTAGGAACTCCTTTCTAGGGGAGATTATTTTAAAAGACAAATGTGCCATCAGCTTATGTTTGGTGGAAACATTAGTAAATTATCTGGTCCAATCCTCTTTCTTTGATGTGCCATGCATCCCTATCTTGGATCCGTATTCCCAGTTTGATTTGTGTATCATCAAAGAGATAGAATTGAGAAAGTAAATCATGATTGCCAATAAAGAAGCCCTGGGGCTATGGATGTAGCTCAGGGGTAGAGTGCTTGCCTAGTATGTATGAATCTCTGGGTTCAATACCCAGCACCATACAAAAAAAGAAAAAAGTTCTGTTAAGTGATCTAGATTGTTTTATATTATCAAGATTATAAGATTCCTTTTACTTCTTGATCTTAAAACTTGAATAAAGGAGCCCTTGTCATTTTTCATGAATCATGACTTGGAGGGCACTCAGGCTAATTTTCAAGCACTGAATAGTGTGACAGGATTTGATAGAGGAAAAAATAGACAAAATGCATCTGTTTACTGTGCTGAGTAGGTAGCACTACCGAGGTTAAGTAGAATGGTATGCTGACTTTGCTTCAGTCCAGGCTAAATAACATCATTAATAGATTGGAAAACTAATCTCTGCTGTTCCCCTCCCCTTACTCTTTTTTAGGAATTGGTGTAGACTTGGTGTGCATGGGAGAGCAACCCTTACATGCTGTCCCATTGTTCAAGGTGATTAGATTTTGAATTGTTTTCCCAAAGGCCAATTGGAAAATAGTTAAAAACAGAAAAGGTGGAACAGTTCCTTGTCTGTCTTCTTTTCTAGCTTATCTTTGTGCTTTTTCCCTCACAGCTACACAATCGGAGTGCTCCTCGAGATTCTCGGCTGGGTGATGACTATAATATTCCTCATTGGATAAACCACAGGTAGGCATGATCAACAGTAGATGATAAGGATTTTGAATAGTGTCCTTGCTGTTTTCTCTTTAACTCTGTTCTTTTTTTAAAAATATAAATAAATAAATAAATAAATATTTTTAGCTGTTGATAGACCTTTATTTATTTATATGTGGTGCTGAGATTTGGACCCAGTGTCTCACACATGTCAGGCAAGGCCTCTACCACTGAGCCCCAGCCCCAGCCCTTTAACTCTGTTCTTATGGCACTAAACCTTTTGTCACAAGAATGTGGGACTGGGAATGTAGCTTAGTAGTAGAGCACTTGCCTAGCATTTGTAAAATCCTTGGCTTTGAGCCCCACCACAATAACAACACGGGAGCTAAAGTTCTAGCATTTACTTAACAATTCTCTATATGCAAAATTTCAACAGTAACGTGGATCAGTTTATAGTGAAAAATAAAACAGGTCTTGAATACCATATTTCTGCTACTATTACCAAGTCCTATTCCCAACTCCCACAGCCCCTAGCAGATCAACTTTGTGCCTGGCCCCCTCCATTTGTAGAAAAGTTCCCATGACCTTGTCCACATGAGATATAGTCTCAGTATCCATGCTGATTTCAGCTCAGCCTCTTCTCCACATAGGATATGGTCTCAGTGTTGCTGCTGATTCCAGCTCAGAGTAGTTTCTTTCATCCCTCTGCTAATACCACTGCCTTATCCTGTCCTCATTTTTTTCAACTATTACACTAATCTCATTGATATGTCTATTTCTTTTGATGATGATGATGATGATGATGATGATGATGATGATAATGATTATTTGATACTGGGGATTGAACCCAGTGGCACTTTACCATTGAGCTACATACCTAGCCCTTTTTATTTTTTGAGACAGAGACTCTTTAAGTTGCTGAAGGTCTTGTTAAGTTGCTCAGGCTGGCCTTGAACTTTTGATCCTCCTGTCTCAGCCTCCCGAGTATCTGGAATTGAAACATGTGCCATTGCACCCAACTGGTGTGTCTGTTTCTAGTCTGTCCTTTCTTCAAACCATCCTTTAGGCCAAGGTTTTTCCACCTTGACACTACTGACGTTTTGGACCAGAACAACATTTTTTGTTGTGGGGGATTGTCCTGTGTATTGTAGAAAACTGAGCAGCATCCTTGACCTCTCCTCACGAGATACCAGTGGCTTAAACCCACAGTTGTGACAACCAAGAATGTCTATAGACATTGCCATATGTTCCTTGAGTGCCCAGATCCTGCACCCCCATTTAGAAGCATTTCTTTAAGCCAGTGGTTTTCTTCTTTTCTCTTTATTTTGTTCTTAAGTGACAAGACTTTTTTTTCCTGGAATTTTAATATAGAAAAGTGAAAAAGTATTAGTGTTCCTCTCTCACACAATAGGCCCTGATGTAGCACCAAGGAACCTTGAAGTCTGGGACAAATGTCTGTCAACCAGTGCCTTACCTGATTGTTAGAGTTATTTTTCTGTAAAACCAAATCCTGTTGCCCTTTCTCTCTCTCTCTCTCTCTTTTTTTAGAGAGAGAGAGAGAGAGAATATTTTTAACATTTATTTTTTAGTTTTTGGTGAACACAACATTTTTATTTTTATGTGGTGCTGAGGATCGAACCCAGTGCCCCGTGCATGCCAGGTGAGTGTGCTACCGCTTGAGCCACATCCCCAGCCCTGCCTTTTCTCTTTTAATTTCTCATGCCAGCTAGATAAAGACTAGAGCTTTTGACATCTGTGACTTCCTGTCCTACTACTTGCCCTCTTTCATTCTATATGGCAGATATACCTCACTGTTACTTCTTCTGGGTCTTCCTGCCTAGAAGGACTGTCTGCCTGCCCTTCTTTTGTAAATGTCTATTCATCCTCTGAGGCCCAGCTCGAACATATCTCTTCTCTTGAGTCTTTTCTGTACTGCTCCTGATAGCCAATAGCTGCTTTTTTTTTCATTACTTCTGGAGCATTCTACCTTTCTCTGTTGTCTTTTTTATGCTGAGACTCATGAAGGCCAGACTGCTTGACTTACATCTCAAGCTCAATAGAACTTTACATTTTGGTTTTATTTAGTTTCAAATCTTTACTGGAAACCACCTTGAAAACTCATCATAAATGTTGAGTTTTGCCTTATTGTGTTTATCCATTATCTTTCTTTTAGGATATGTTACCATTAGTATGGTGGTTGTTGTAATTATTCATAGGTGAGGAATTAGGAATGAACAAGGTAGGATTAGTTTTTTAAATTTTTTTTATTGGTTGTTCAAAACATTACAAACCTCTTGACATATCATATTTCATACATTAGATTCAAGTGGGTTATGAACTCCCATTTTTACCCCAAATACAGATTGCAGAATCACATCGGTTACACATCCACATTTTTACATAATGCCATATTAGTAACTGTTGTATTCTGCTACCTTTCCTATCCTCTTCTATCCCCCCTCCCCTCCCATCTTCTCTCTCTACCCCATCTACTGTAATTCATTTCTCTCCTTGGTTTTTTTTTCCCATTCCCCTCACAACCTCTTATATGTAATTTTGTATAACAATGAGGGTCTCCTTCGATTTCCATGCAATTTCCTTTTTCTCTCCCTTTCCCTCCCACCTCATGTCTCTGTTTAATGTTAATCTTTTCCTCCTGCTCTTCCTCCCTGCTCTGTTCTTAGTTACTCTCCTTATATCAAAGAAGACATTTGGCATTTGTTTTGTAGGGATTGGCTAGCTTCACTTAGCATAATCTGCTCTAATGCCATCCATTTCCCTGCAAATTCCATGATTTTATCATTTTTTAGTGCTGCGTAATACTCCATTGTGTATAAATGCCACATTTTTTTTATCCATTCATCTATTGAAGGGCATCTGGGTTGGTTCCACAGTCTAGCTATTGTGAATTGTGCTGCTATGAACATCAATGTGGCAGTATCCCTGTAGTACGCTCTTTTAAGGTCTTCAGGGAATAGTCTGAGAAGGGCAATAGCTGGGTCAAATGGTGGTTCCATTCCCAGCTTTCCCAGGAATCTCCATACTGCTTTCCAAATTGGCCGCACCAATTTGCAGTCCTACCAGCAATGTAGAAGAGTACCCTTTTCCCCACATCCTCGCCAGCACTTGTTGTTTGACTTCATAATGGCTGCCAATCTTACTGGAGTGAGATGGTATCTTAGGGTAGTTTTGATTTGCATTTCTCTGACTGCTAGAGATGGTGAGCATTTTTTCATATACTTGTTGATTGATTGTATGTCCTCCTCTGAGAAGTGTCTGTTCAGGTCCTTGGCCCATTTGTTGATTGGGTTATTTGTTATCTTATTGTTTAATTTTTTGAGTTCTTTGTATACTCTGGATATTAGGGCTCTATCTGAAGTGTGAGGAGTAAAAATTTGTTCCCATGATATAGGCTCCCTATTTACCTCTCTTATTGTTTCTCTTGCTGAGGAAAAACTTTTTAGTTTGAGTAAGTCCCATTTGTTGATTCTTGTTATTAATTCTTGTGCTATGGGTGTCCTATTGAGGAATTTGGAGCCCGACCGCACAGTATGTAGATCGTAGCCAACTTTTTCTTCTATCAGACGCAGAGTCTCTGATTTGATATCAAACTCCTTGATCCATTTTGAGTTAACTCTTGTGCATGGCGAGAGAAGGGGATTCAGTTTCATTTTGTTGCATATGGATTTCCAGTTTTCCCAGCACCATTTGTTGAAGATGCTATCCTTCCTCCATTGCATGCTTTTAGCCCCTTTATCAAATATAAGATAGTTGTAACTTTGTGGATTAGTCTCTGTGTCCTCTATTCTGTACCATTGGTCCACCCGCCTGTTTTGGTACCAGTACCATGCTGTTTTTGTTACTATTGCTCTGTAGTATAGTTTGAAATCTGGTATCGCTATACTGCCTGATTCACACTTCCTGCTTAGAGTTGCTTTTGCTATTCTGGGTCTTTTATTTTTCCATATGAATTTCATAATTGCTTTATCTATTAATACAAGAAATGTCATTGGGATTTTGATTGGCATTGCATTGAACCTATAGAGAACTTTTGGTAATATCGCCATTTTAATGATGTTGGTTCTGCCTGTCCATGAACAGGGTATATTTTTCCATCTTCTAAGATCTTCTTCTATTTCTCTCTTTAGGGTTTGTAGTTTTCATTGTATAAGTCTTTCACCTCTTTTGTTAGGTTGATTCCCAAGTATTTTATTTTTTTTGAGGGTATTGTGAATGGGGTGTTTTTCCTCATTTCCATTTCAGAAGTTTTGTCGCTGATATACAGGAATGCCTTTGATTTATGCGTGTTGATTTTATATCCTGCCACTTGGCTGAATTCATTTATTAATTCTAGGAGTTTCTTTGTAGACCCTTTTGGGTCTTCTAGGCATAGAATCATGTCGCCCACAAATAGTGATAATTTAAGTTCTTCTTTTCCTATTTTTATGCCTTTAATTTCTTTCGTCTGTCTAATTGCTCTGGCCAGTGTTTTGAGAACTATATTGAATAGAAGTGGTGATAGAGGGCATCCCTGTCTTGTTCCAGATTTTAGAGGGAATGCCTTCAATTTTTCTCCATTCAGAATGATGCTAGCCTGAGGCTTAGCATAGATAGCTTTTACAATGTTGAGGTAAGTTTCTGTTATACCTAGTTTTTCTAATGTTTTGAACATAAAGGGATGCTGTACTTTGTCGAATGCTTTTTCTGCGTCTATCAAGATGATCATATGGTTCTTATCTTTAAGTCTATTGATGTGGTGAATAACATTTATTGATTTCCGTATATTGAACCATCCTTGCATCCCAGGGATGAATCCTACTTGATCATGGTGCACAATTTTTTTGATGTGTTTTTGTATCCGATTCGCCAGAATTTTATTGAGGATTTTTGCATCTAGGTTCATTAGAGATATTTGTCTGTAGTTTTCTTTCTTTGAGGTGTCTTTGTCTGGTTTCGGAATCAGGGTGATGTTGGCCTCATAGAATGAATTTGGAAGAGCTCCCTCTTTTTCTATTTCCTGAAAAACTTGAAAA